TGTGTGTGTGTGTGTGTGTATATATATATATATATATATATATATATATATATATATATATATATATATATTAGAGGCCTGGTGCATGAATTTGTGCATGGGTGGGGTCAGGCCAGCCTGGCCAGGGGGAGGGGACGTGGGTGGTTGGTCGGCCTGCCTGCTGGCTGAGAGGACAAACTGCATATTAGCCTTGTATTCTATAGGATATATCATACACTGAGTGGCCAGATTATTATGCGTTCAGAGATCATCATAATCTGGCCACTCAGTGTAGATGTGGTGACTCCCATGAACCCTGATGTCCTCAGAGCAGATACACACAGCTCATGAGCCACAAGAAGTTCAGGGGCAAGAGGCCCAGAAGCCCAAAGGCCCACAGACAGACAATGGCAAAGTGGAGACCACATCGCAGGGGTCCTGCTTCCCAGACTGGCACCCTGCAATTGATTGTTGTGTGACCCTGACAAGTCCATTCCCTCCCTGGCACCCAGTTTCCCCAGCTCTACATTGAGAGGATGGGCTAGCTGCTCCATGCCCCAAGGCTCTGATTCTTGAGTTCTCCAATATCATGGAAGGGTAGTGTCAAAGGATCTCTATGCTTGGAACAAGAAGGAAATCCTGAGTATCCCACTCCAAGTTCCTGAAAGCTTGCCTCTGTACAGTCCTACACTCTCACTGTCCACCCAGGTACAGGGGGCCCTTGCACTTGATGCATGGACACAGCTGCCCCTTGCTTTGCAAGCCCTCTTCTTGGTCACTCACATACCATGACCATGCCACAGCCACCCCTGCCAGGCTCAGGTGGGCAGAGAAAGGGCATACAATTTACCCTTGAATAACTCGGGTTTTGAACTTCCTGGGTCCACTTAGATACAGAATATTTTTAGTTGATCCACTCAGCTCAAACCCACATTGCTTAAGGGTTAACTAGTGGTTGGGAATTCAGGTACTGCATTCCAAAGGCCGACTTAAGTTATGCAGATTTCAGCTGCATGGGTGGTCAGCACACCTGACCACTGCACTGTCAGCGGGACACTCATGAGGGTCAGCTGGACACTCATGAACCAAGGGTGCAGCCATCAGACTCTGGCGATGAGGGCCCAGTCCAGGCTGAGTGACAGATGGTGTTCATGTGGGGTGGGCGGGCAAGAAGGGCAGCTCCAGAAAAGCCACATCGTCTCTGGTTAACCCTTGAGTGACCCAGAGAGAAAGAGACATTCTCCAAAGATATATAATTTTTTTTTACAGGTGCTCCATTGCCCCGTGTCAAAAATCCATGTAACCCCCACAGACCATTCCATACTCAGCCCATGGTGGGGTTCCTGCCTGTATGTACACACTTATGTACACATACACACACACACACACACACTCACCTAGGTAACACAAACACAAATACATACCATGATAACACACACTGGGCACACACACACACACACACACACACCCTAGGCATGTATGTACAAATACTTGACATAGGAAAGGGCTTAGGGCCTGAGGTCCAGAGGCCCCGGATTTGGGACCAGCCTATGCCGGGCATTGCCTGGATGACCGCACACAAGCCCTTTACACCTGAGCCCGTCGGTACAATGGAGACACAGCACCACGTGCCTCCCAGGCTGCAGTGAAGATCCAGGAAGCTGCCCTCAGTGGGTTGGGAGCAGCAGGAGAGCTCAGGGCTGACAGTGCATGCCCCTGAGCTCCGGGGACCTGGCGTCAGCGCTGAAAGGGGTTTGGTGTATCCGTCAAAAGGCCGCTTTTCTAGTCCAGCTCTGCGCTCCTCTAACGAGGTGACTTAGGCAAGTCCCTGCCTCCCGCTGGGCCTGCCTTCCCACCTGTAGGCGGCCGCTGGCCCAGGTAATCCTGGGACCTGTAAGGGCCTGCCTCCCGCGTGAGGGCTGCCTCCCTCCCCGGCCCAGGGCAGTGCGGGCCACCGGCTCTCCAGCTGCTCGTGGCCCAGGAAAGAAGGTGGCAGGAGCTCTTTACCAGAAGGGCAGAGTCCAGGGGAGCCAACCTCCCCAAATCCCTGGTTGAACAACAACCCTGGATGCCCTGGGCCCCTCCGGGCAGGTGTAGGAGTGCTCAGCCGCCCTGGGACCTTGGGACGGGGTCACCAGGCCCTGGGACCTTGGGACGGGGTCACCAGGCCCGCAGCCAATGGGGAAATGCCCTTTCTGCACCCCGCGGCCAGCCCCAGGCGACGCGGCAAGAGGGGGCACCTTCCGATTCCCAACGCCACCCACGCGCCCCAGGCGCCCAGCGCCCCGCGGCCCGGCTCCTCCCCGCGGCCGGGGAGGGATATCGGGGCGCCCCAGGGGCGGCGCTGAGCGCAGGCAGACCCCCTCCCGGCGGCGCGCGGCCCCCTCCCCATGGCGGTCTCGGGCTCGCCGGGGCGCGCTCTCGGACCCGAGTCACCTCCTTACCCAGAACTTGGAGCCGAGCTCCCCGGAGCCGCACAGGGCGTCCATGGGGCCAGGCGCGCGGCGAGGAGGCGAGCGCGGCGGTGCCGACCCAGCGACCCAGCCCGGACGGCCGGCGCCAGAGCCTCCCCCGCCCCGCGCTCCGCCCCGGCCGGCCCGCCCCGCCGAGCCCAACCCCAGGCCCGCTGGGTCTGATTCGGGTATCGCTGCAATTGGAACAGAGCTTCGCCAGGCTGCAGCTCGGGAGGGGGGGCGGGGGGGTTGTCGCTGGGGCCGCGGTGGAGTCCCGGACACAGTGACAGCCCCGAGTGGCACCGGGGCGCGCGGGAGGAGGCCGCTCCAGGTACTCAGGCTGATGGAACCAGAACGGGTCTGTCTGCAAGGTGCTCCCCCGCTCCCATGTGGGGTCTGGGGAGTCACTGAGACCCGAGTGGGTCCTAGCTACAATAGATTCTGGGAACAGATCCTGGAAAAGGTCACTTTCATCTCTGGGGCTCAGTCTCCTTATCTGTAAAATGGGTAGAGCTTGTCTCCCCAGACCATCCAGAAGGCTGCCCCTCCCCACACGTTTCCGGAGGACCAGCGGACACCCACCGGTAATGTGCACAGGAGAGGGGCAGGGGCAGGGGTTCTAGCATCATCCAGGTGGCGGCTGCCGAAGAGTCCCTTACATTGCTGCCTTCTGGGGTCCCGGCTCCCTGATCTTGTGGGTGTCGCCTTAGTGTCACGCTGTGCTTCCACTTTCACTTTGTAAAACAGTACTTAACTCCTAGGGTTACTTCGAGGGTTCAATGGGAAAGGTATGTAAAACATCAAGCATACTGCAGGCCCGCGCAGTAGGAACCCAGCGTGTGTTAATTTTATCCATTTCAGCTGGTCAGGGGAGAGGGCGGGCTGAGGGTCCCTTCCCCGGCACAACCCTCCCTCCCTCCCTGTGTTGAGTCACCCCTTGTCTTGCTTACCTGCCCCAGAAGACAGTGGATAAGAACCAATTCTTGTTTATTGCTGTATTCTCAGCATCCAGGACAGCGCCTGGCAAAGTCGGTCCTCAGGGAATGTTTGTTGACTGACTAACCAAGTGATACAGCGGGCAGCCAGACAGACGGGGACGCTAGGCCAGGTTCAGAAGGACATCAGGGCAGAAAGTCCCAGATACCAGGCAAAACTAGGTGTTGGAGAAAAGCCCCAAAAGTCTAAACTCAGGATCGATTCTGAAGAACTGACCCATAGCCTTATTCAAGTTCCCAAGAGCTTCATGAAGAGAAACTTACAAGGGCAAAGCAGCTACTTCCGGGGGTGGCGGGCCAGGAAGAGGCCACACCCCTCCCAGGACACGGTCCCTTTGACAGGGGGTTCGTAGCAGGGCTTATAGGAAAACCAGATAGCGGGTAGTTCATGGACTTCCCCAGAGAACAATGAATCACTCACTAATTAAAAGGAAAGTTAAAGATAACATCGGACAGTGATGACATTCTATACATTCATTAACCTCCTTCCCGGGGGCTGATGTGCATCCTGGGGCAGCATTCCAGCTTTGGGGGTAGTCAGCCAAGCATGAGGTTACAGAGAGTTAAACAGTCGCAAGGAGTTCAACAGTCACAGAGACCTTCACTGCGGGAGCCGTACTGCATCTTTAAAGCGAGTTCCCCTCCACCGGGAAAAGAAGCGTTGTCTGACCTCCCCACCGGGTGACCTCTCCCCTCTAGCTGGTCCCGATGTTTAGACCCCTTGACCTTTCATATCGCCGATCGTGCGGCTCAGACCTCCCCCCGACCTTTGCTCCCCAGGCATGTCTCCCCTGGCATGTCTCTAATCCCGTGGTAGAGCCCCTGAGAGGAGGAACAAGGGGACCGGACCAAAGCTTCCTATGGTTCCCATACAGCCCTTGCAGGACCACTCCCTGAAGCATCAAGGTTCTGGCCCACATCCAATAGTCTTAGGAACAAAGCTCTGGCCTGCTGACCACAGAGACAAAGTCTGGGCTTCCGTTGTATGTTAGCTCCAGGTCCAGAAAAGCAGCGATGAAAGCGTGGACCAGCTGCTGTGACTAAAGATTCCCCCACTCTGCTCCCCCTCAAGCCAACCAATCAGTGGAGACCATGACACTGACGAGATACACCTGGAAAGCGAATGCATCTTCTATGGAGACCTTTCCTGGGCCTTTAGATAGAGCCCTTAAGCCTTAAGGCTTAAGGCAAGGCCCCCGCTCTCTCTTGCTCTCCGGAGCACGCCCCTACCTTCCCCCCTCTTCCCCCAGGTGCGTCTTGTCTTTCTTTTCCCTCAGCTCCAGGGGCCCTTCTTCAGCCTCTGTAACTTGTCCCCTGAGCTCATACGACCCAGCTGGCTCACTTACCCCTACGCCGGTGACTTTCTAAATACATGTCTGCTTGTGTTTGCGTCTAGGTTCTGAATTCTTCCTTAGCCAAACTCAAGGGCCGAGGACTAATAGTTGGTGCCGTTCACCTTGAACACACGTAGCTCATGTCCTAAAAGGAGATCGTAGGTAGCAAGGTCACCGTGACCTTAGCACACACACTGTGGGCACTGTCCACTCTGCTTGGAGCGTTCAGAACCAAGAGGAGCAATAATGACCTGTGGGCTGGGCTGCAGCAAAGAGAGGGACTGAACCTCCTTCGATTTGAGTGCCCCAGCCTCAGCCTCCCCCCCCAGCTGCCTGCAGCTCCAGGCAGGATGGACAGAGCATGTGCTGCGAGCCTCCCCTGCCAGTGAGCGTCCCAGGGGAAGCCAGCTTCCGGGATTTCCTGGCAGGGAGATGAAAAGAGAAGACGATTTCAAGGTACAGCTCCGAGCAGGAATGACAACAGAGAAAAGAAGAAAGCAGAGCGAGGTGGGAACCGGGAGGCCCAAGGACAGGAAACGCTGCAAAGGAGAGTGAGATGGGAACGGACAAGACAAGGAGGAGGCTGTGGAATGGCAAAGGCAGGCTTCTAGCGCTCCGCTCCCATCACTGCCTGATTCCTTTTAGCCCCTCGTGTCTGCTCGGAGGTCTAGAGCACCCCCACCAGCCTCCAGTTCCCAAACTCCGACCTCCCCCTTCCCTGCTGCTTCCTCCAGACCCCGTCCTGGTGGAGGCCACGCTGATCCCACTCCGGCCTCAGCAAGGCTGGCTCTCTGCCCGCAGCCTGCACTTGATCTGATTTGGCATGCGTGTAAGCACCGGCTGCTGTGCCCGACTCAGGAATTTCCAAGACAAGAAGAATTAATTAGCTCCGTGGGCCACCGTCAGCATTTCCCACACCTGGACCGGGGCTAAGAGTTCCAATGTTCCCTTGCAGAATCCCCACCTGGGCATTCGCTGGAGCTGCCGCCTCTCTCATCTGCTTAGCTGTGCCCTCCGAGCAGGACGCCAGCCGACAACTAAACTCACTTTGGAGAGTGAATTCCCCTCCTAGAAACCGCTGTTTGGCTTAGCCCTGGTCCCCGGCCTTAGGCAGGGACCCCTGGGTACCGTGGCTAAGCACTCTGATGACGGGGCTTCCCCAACCACAGACCAGGCCCTTCCCTGGGCCCCGAGAGCCTGTCTCCTCCTTTGGGGATGGGGTACGCAGAGCACCTGTCCATAGAGCATGCCCACGTGTTGGTGTCCTCTCCCTGGCTTGGTACCTCTGCAGAGGGGACGCTGGATGGGGTGGCACCCGGTGTAGGTGGCTGGTGCTGCATGTGGTGTCTGATGCCCTCACTCCACTGCTGTCACCAGCCCTACAGGTCAGGCCGCTCAGCTAGCCCAGGAGAGCAGACAGGAGGCCACGGGGCACCAGGCGGTGATGGGTGGGGACTACAGGTGATGATGGAGGTCTGAGTGGGGCAGGGGGTGAGGACAAAAGGGACAAGGGCCTGGGAGAAGGAGGGGTTGCTCGGGGGTGCTCGGGCAGCATTATGCCAGGGAAAGGTGGTTTCTGGGAGACTGGGTGATTGCAGAGCCGCTGTGGCCAGCCCATGCACAGGCACCTGGAGCTTAGGGACCCCTTTTGTTGCTTAGGGTGGGACCTCTCTCCTCACGCAGGGCTGGGGCTGGGGCTGCTGTAGGCAGGTGTGCCGAGCTGGGAGCTCATAGGTACATTTCTGTGAACACGGGTGGTATCGCTTTGGAAAAGGCCACCGTGGCGAGGCCCTTTGCACCACCCCCTCTGCCCTCCATAGGAGAAGCGGCGGGGTCGTGGTGAAGCCAGTGGACTGTAGGTTGGCCAGACTCGCAGAACGCCTGCCATTTCCTGGCTGTGTGACCTTGGGCAAATCTCGGAGCCTCTCTGAACCCACAGCCTCGTGGGGACGTGAGAGCAATGGTGCATCCCTCGCTAGGGTGCTGTGAGGAGTGAGTGAGAGACTGCCGGTGAGTCTCAGGTTTGTTTTTAGCACCAGCTCAGCTCACTTCTCATCCCACAGTTCCCTACCCCCTGACAGACCTTTTCCTAACGTCTGAGGCTAGAGGAAGCAGAAGCGGCCAAGCCTGAGGGGCGGGGGGGCATACAGCTGCTGACATGATTTCTTCTGAACCCCAAGGAGGAGGCTCAAAGCACATGTGCCAGGATGGATGTTCTTACCCTCCGAAGCCCCCACATCCCTGAAGTTCTGAGTCAATTCCAACTCTGCCCCTGGAGGCACTAATTCAAGATCTGCTGCCGCCCCAGCAGCCCCTCCCCACCCCCAGCCTCCTCAGTCCCCCCTTCCCCCCACCCCCCCAATCCCTACCCTGCCCCGCATCCTGGAGCAGAATAAAAAGCCATTCACACAAGCATCATGAGGTTAGCATCATTGTTATTATTATAACTGTTGATAAGATTCAGTAGTGCCATCATTTCCATTTCAAACTCTTGTAACGGGACACAGCAGTTTCCATCATTGTTAAAGAGGTTACATGGTTAGGGGAGAGGCCAGGATTGATCCCCTCCCTCAGAGAGCCAGATTGACGCTGAGGGGTCCTGGGCTGGGATGGAGGGACAGGATGGCAGCTCTGCTCTCTGGCTTAATCGTGACCCAGAATCCTCCAACTCTTAGAGGAAAAGAGGCCCCAGGGCCCCCTTCCCATCGTCCCCAGCCTCACTAAGGAATAGACAGCTACGGAATTCTACAAAAATATAAAAGCTTCATCTGCAAGCCTAGGTCACAAAACTCTAGGAATTTTGTACAATTTGGCTAAAAAAAAAAAGAAGGCAGCTTCTATGAGCACCCTCCCCCCTTCCCCACCCGAGGAGGACAGAGGAAATAGAATCTGACATTATTGCAGGTTTTTGGGTCAGACTCCAAGAGAATCAGACCAGGCGTTTGCTTTAAGGAGTGGTATCATTTCTGCCCAGGTTCGGAAACACCAGGTTGGAAAAAGCATCCTGGTTCATCACCCAGCCGTCTGGCACACCCCCGAGGCCCCCCTGGTCCCAGGTTCAGATGGGGAGGAGGTGGGAGTGAGAGCTGCCAGCTGCTGTTGACGATGTTTCCTGGAGTTGGAAGAAGGACTGGGGTTGGGTGGCTAGCAGGGAACAGGCTGGTTGAGCCTAACCTGGGGCCTGTGACGCCACCTCTGGGCACCAGGGTTTCAGATCAGAGACTATTGCCCGCGGTAGCACCAGCAAGGAGGTTCTGGGCTAGCCCCTCCTCCTCTCTCCTTCCTGTCCTCCCTTCCCCTCCCTCCCTCCTCTGCTTGCTCTCACTGGGCAGGCAGCAGCAGGCAGTATGAACCCTTGTGGGTACTCACTCATCAGCCCCGGGGGCCAGCTCCCCTCGCAGCCTGGCTTCCCCACCTACCAATTCCCTGGACACCTGGCTCTGTTCCCCTCCACCTTCGGAGACAGCAGCCCTCTGTTTATATAGCTCAGTCCCGTCGCCTGTCCTGATGGGCTGGTGCCCACACGGGTCAGTGACTCCCAGACTGAAGCCCAGACTCAGGCTGCAGAGGTCGCCCTGGGGAAGCTGGGAAAGGAAAACCCAGAGGCCTCGCCCCGCCCCCACCAGCCCTGGGATGGGATCTCAGCAGCTGAAGCTGCCTCTCCCAGCCTCCATCAGCCCCATTAACCAAAACAGCGTCATTATGCCAATTTCCAGCTTTCAGTGCGAGGCTGAGAGCTGTCAGCAGAAATAAGAGTTAATCTGGAGTTACATTCACAGAGCTGCTCGGCTCTGATCGAAGCCAGAGTGGGTCCTGCCTGCCTGCCCAGCCTCCCCCCACGCAGAGGGCGGCTTCTCCCGGGAGGTCAGGCTGGGAGGTTGCAGCCTCCAGGGAGAGGCATTTGGGTTCTCTTTGCCTGAGTCATGAACAAATACATATATACTCATATATACACACACACACACACACTCACAGACATTCACTCCTATATGTACACTTACATATCACATATATACACACACACACACACTCACTCATACACACACTCACACACATCCGCTTATACACACTCATATACATAAACACTCATAATGCACTCATACTACAATACTTATACATACACACACCCTCACACCCTCACACACACACACACACACACACACACACACAAGCAAAGGCAGCGTTGATCCCTTCCCTCCCACCACCCACTCCCTGCCTCCAGGAATCTGTCCCCAACGCCATCTGGAAATGCCTCTCTATGCCTTGTGCTTTTTTACTCTGGACCGTGATTAACTTTATTTTGGAAAATTACTTTATTATATAGATATAGATATATAGATATAGATATGTATGTACGTATATATATATATATAAAAAGGTTTCATTTCATTTGTAAAATCGTATTTTTTTTCTTTTGCTCTCTTTTTCTTTTTTTTTTTTTCCTACAGAAAATGATGACGAGGTTCAAGGAGAAAATAAGTTACATTACAGTTTCCAAAATGGTCCTGGCTCTCCGCTGCAGATGGGTCACCACCGTCAGGTCTGTGATGCACTTGCCGTCCCAGCTTGTGCTTTTTGCGAGAAGAGGGGGATATAACTAGACTGGTTATTTTAGGTTAAAATAGCCGGGACAGACGCCTTCGCCTCAAAAATATTCTGAGACAACATGAAAGTAGAAGGAAACAAGTCTCTTCAGTCACAAAAGGCCGTACATCCCGCATATTACTAGATTCAATTAATTTAATAAAATAGAATATACACAGAGATTCTGCACAAACGTATTGCTTTCTCCCAACAGCTCCTGGTGTCGGGCTCCTCAGCGGCACCGGCTTCTCCTCCTGCTGGGAGCCGGGGTGGGCAGGGCTGCCGCTTCCCACTCGCTGGGCATCCGGCTTCTGCCAGTGCCCAGCGCCACCGAGGGAGGGAGGGAGGGCGCCTCCTGGGTGTCCACATGGACCGTCTGTGGGGACTATAGCCCAAGAGGAGGAGCTAGGATTTGGCACCCAGTGGAGAAAGGTGAGAGGGAGGGTGGGGCAGGACTCAGGGGTCCAGGTCTGCTGGGGCGGCCGGGGAACCGGAGACACCCAGCGTGTCTTTCTTTGGGGAGGGCGAGGCAGCCATGCTGTCAGGGGGGCCGGAGGCCGAGAGATCCTTGGCGTCGCTGGACGGAGCCCTCCTCCGGAGGCAGATGCCAGGGCTGGGTGGGGGCCGAGCGCCCTGGCCCTGGGGGGGGTCTATAGAGATACTGGGCGGGCTGAGTTTTTTCTTGGGCCGGCCCCCAGGCCCCCCGAGAGGGTGCCCCCCGAGGCCGGAGGGGCCGGGGTCCAGGTGGGGCTGGGAGCCGCTGTCCAGGCAGCTGACGGCGATGGAGTGCCGCCTCTGCTCCTCTAGCCAGGACGCGGGCCGGCGCCCGCAGCTCTGCGCCTCCACGCTGTAGCACTTCTTCAGGTCCCGCGGGGACGGGGGCGCCTCCTGGCCGCCCGCCGGCAGGAGGCCTCCGGAAACCCAGCTCAGCTCCGTGTCCAGCTCCAAGCTGCTCCTGGTCTCCAGCGGGCTTTGGCCCCAGGTGGGCTCAGGGCCCGGGCAGGGGGCTGGCGAGGGCGTGTGCTTCGAGGTCTTGCTCTGGCCGCAGGGATGCTGTGCCGGGCTGCTCAGCCGGCCCCAGAAGGAGGAGGTCCGGGCCAGAGGCGGGGAGGGCCCGCTCGCCTCTGACAGCAGGTCCTCCCTGCTGCCGAGGCCCTGGACGTCCAGGGAATCGGTCCTTATTGCTGCCTGTATGGGGTGGGGGGAGGGCTCAGCTTGGGGGCTTCCTCTTCCCCGTTAGCTGTTCCTCCCGGCAAGCCAGAGCGCCCCCTCCTCCCCGTCCAGGCGGCTGCAGGACCAACCTAAGCAAAGGGTCCTGTATTCGCTCTTGTTTAAGGTGACCAGCCGTCCCGCTTTTGGCGGGCCAGTCCCGATTCCTAACAATTTATCCCGCGTCCTGAGGCGTTTTAAAAAAGTCCCGATTTTCCCAAAAACACTGCGGGACAAATTGTTAAAAATTGGGACTGTCCCGCCAAAAGCGGGACGTCTGGTCACCTTACTCTTGTTGAGAGGTACATGTGCATCGGGCCCTCTTGCCACTGCCTCCCTCTGTGTCTCCCCAAGGAGGCACTGGGCCAGCTCTGCTCCCTCATGCCTCCCTGCCTCTTTGGCCGGAAACACCCTCAACTCCATGGGCTCCGGTCCTCTTCCCTCTGATAAAACACACCCCTTACTTTCGTCTTTGCTCCCTGCTGCCCCAGGCCCCCCGACCATCTCAGCCATGACCCGCCCCTGCAGAGATCTGACTGGTATCGTCTACTGTCACACCCTGCGCTCCGGAGGGCGGGGCTGTCTCATTTGTCTGTCTCCCCGGGCCTGGCACACAGGGACTGCTCAGGGACTATCTACAGGATGGATGGGGACCGTGCCTGTTCCCCCAGTGGGTGGGCTTGAGCAGATGCTCACGTGGCCACGCTCAGACCTAAGGACACACACCACATGGGCTGTGGGCTTGTGGCTGGAGAACACACAAGCCTCGCCTCTGCTCTGGGCCCCTGGAGTGTGACCTCCACAAGGCGGGCCCCGGGCTCGGCCGAAGATGGGGACCCCTAGAATGTGCCTCGTGCCCAGCCGGTGTGGCTCAGCGGTTGAGCATTGACCTATGAACCAGGAGGTCCCAGTTCGAGACCCAGTCAGGGCTCATGCCCTGGGCTGTGGGCTCCATCCCAGGAGCGGGTGTGCAGGAGGCAGTCGATCAATGATTCTCATCCTTGATGGATGTTTCTACCTTTTTCTTTCTTTCTCCCTTCCTTGCTGAAATCAATAAAAATATATATTTTTTAAAAAACTGTGCCTCCTGCCCCTTAGCTAGGATTAGAAATACAGAGAACGGGAGGCAGCTCTGGGTCGGGAAGAGGGAGTCAGGAGCCTGGGCCTCCTCTGGCCTCCAGGCTTCCTCAGTGAAACAGGGAGGGGGGCCAGCGCTTGGTCTGGCCTTGCGTCCTGTGCCTGGCTGGCCTGCCCCTGGCTCACAGCCAGCGTTTGCCGGGAGAAGGGAAGAGGCCACCCTGGTCATCGCCAACGACCGAGGATTCCCGGCCGAGAGGCTGGCCCTCAGGCCCATCCCACCTCTCCACTGCTGCTTACCTGGCGCCTCAGGGGCCTCTGCGCCAGAGGGGAGCGGCCCGGCGGGGGCAGTTTGGGGATGGCACCCCACGTGGGAGCGCCGTGGGGCTGGAGCAGATGGGGCGCGTCTTTGGGAAGCTGCAGGATGTAGCTGGTGTCTGCTGGCTGGGAGTGCACGGACAAGACGGAGCCTGCGGGGGGTGGGAGGACGGGCGAAGGAGGACAGAGAAGAGCTGAAGGGCCCGCCAGTCTGGCTCCCACCAGAGGCCCCTCCCTACCTCTCTCTGTCCTCCCCATCGGGGCCTCCACCTTCCCACAGAACCCTCACCCCGTTCGGAAGCCACCTCCCACAGGCAGGGGCTGGGGGCTCCTCAGAAGTAGGAGGGGGGCCCCCCCTCTTTGGCTGCCTCAGTTTCCCCCCAGGTAAGGACTGAGCCTGGTCAAGGATAGGGTCCCCCAGTGTGAGCCATGCTGGCTCGCCCCGGAGCCTGGTACCTGACTGAGCTTTGGGGAGCCCCCAGCTCCTGTGTCCCGGGGACCCCTCGGCAGTGCTTCTGTCCCGGCACATGTAGCTGTCGTTGGGCAGAGAGTGCGTGCGGCTGACCCCAGACTTCCGCACCGCCAGCAGGTCCGGCACCTCCCCCAGGCGGGGCCCCCTCTGCAAAAGAAACCGGGGAGGGAGGGGGCGGGAGAGGGGGCATCCCGATTGGGTAACTGAGGCAGCGATGGACAATAGAAGCCAAAAGCTCCCCACCCCTCGCTACCGCCCGAGGCCCCAGCCCCCATCCCTGCTCGGACAAGGCGGTGATGGATGAGTGGTGAGGCAAAGGGGCAGACACAGGAGGAGCCTCCACACACAGGGAGGAAGGGGGTGGCAGGAGGCCCCGGCCCCACAAAACCATCCACACTGTAACCCTTGGAGCCTCCGGGGGGGCGGGGGTGGTGGTGGAGGGTGAGGAGGGGTTCGAGGAGGGAGAGCAGCCCCCAGCCCCCAGCCTGGATTAAGAGCTCATTCTCAAGGCCCCACGAGAGGGGCTGAAGGACCCCAGGGAGGGTGAAAGGCTAACAGCATCCTGCAGTCCTCCTTGCTGGGCTGTGGGGGGACTGGGAACGGGGAGCACCCCCCAGTGAGCAGGAGACATGGCAGCTGGGACTGCCTTCCGTGTCTCCACTGGTTTGTAAGGCAGCCTCAGCACCCAGTGCGGGCACGGGCTGAGGTAACAGGCTGGACGGCCGATGAACACGGGCTGTCACAGCTGGCTTCCCCGCCGTCTCCCTCTCCCCTTTAATCACACCATGGGGTGTGCTGGGACCTCCCCAGTGGGGAGACTAGGCGCTAAGGTGGGTGTTTGGAATCTACTTCAAAGAAAGGCAGGGACCAGCCTTTGACCCCAGGCAGCGGGAGACACGGTTTGCTCCCAAGAAAAGTCTCCAACCCCCGCCCTGCCCCTCTCCCCCGTCCGGTCCCAGTTCTCGGGGAGGCTGCAGGGTTCCACACGGCCCAGCCGGTGTGCAGCCCACTGGGCCTGGGGACGGCGGTGCTGAAGACAGTCTGGCTCCTTTACTCCCCCCTCTCAGCTCAGGTTCCACTTGTGCACCCACCCCAAGACCCCTAGGGGCCCCCAGCCTGTGGCCAGCACAGAGCCCTGCCGTGAGGAAGGGGGTCCCATCCCCTCTTAAGTCCCAGGAGGAAGGAGACGGGAGGGAGGAGGGGGCTGCTCATAGTCAGAAGGGACCAGGGGTCGGGCAAGGGTGGAGAAGCTGTCAAAACACAAAGAAGTCCCCGGGACACAGGGACACACAGGGACACAGGGACACACAGGGACACAGGGACACACAGGGACAGTGACAGAGAAGACAGGACACCCCCTCCCCCCCAGCCTCGGTGGAAAAGGGCAAGATGGTGGCAGCGGAAACGTGGCTCTTACCCACTACGTGGTGGCAGATGGCGGGGGGAGGAGGGGCAGGTGGGAAAGGGGGTGCAGGGAGGGGGAGGGCTGGCTGGCACAGGGCTCCAAACCCGGAGGCTGGTTCTGCATCCTGATGCCACCTCTGAGTTGGGCTGTCACTCCTGGGGGGTCTGGATCAACCCCTTCACAACGGTAGCCCCTGGGCCCTTCTGGGGGAGGCCCCGATTTCACATGATCTAATTTCTTTGTCCACAGTGGGGGACCCAGAGACCTAACAAAGCCTGGGGCACTAAGTGCCTGCGGTTATGGGGCTCTGAAGCAGGGGGGGAGGGGGGACCTGGAGCCCGGCAGCCAGCCCAGCCCCCTGGGAGGCTGGGGAGCAGCGAGGGGCTGTGCATGTACATTATTGCTCTCCGGGGCACTAAGTAAGAGTGTGAGAGTGTCATCAGGCAAAGAGTCATCCGTCAGAGCTAGAGAGCAGGACGGTTCAGACACAATCTCTGACGTCAGAGACAGAGCCTCCATCTCAGCTAGAGGGATCTAGACAGGGAGAGAGATGATCAGGCGTGAGAAACCGGGACGGAGGGCACCCACGCACACGCATGCAGCGCACACGCACATACACAGAGCCCCTCTGTCCCCCTTTCCACGAAGCACAGGGAAAAGAGGCCTCCTTTCTCTCTCCCCGCCGGCCTCACCGTCACCCCCCCCCCCCCCCCCAACCCTCACTCTGATCAGAGAGGCTGCAGCAGGCACCAAAGAGCCAGGGCAAACACGGACAAAAGCAGGAGACACAGGAATGTGTTCTAAAGACCCCCCAGGAGCCTAACAGTGCCCCCACCCCTGGGGAGCGGGGTGGGGGGAGGGCTTTACTCTCATGAGGATTGGGGGGGGGAGAAAGGCCAGTGTCTCTCTGCTCTCAGCAGGCGGCGGCAGGGGGGGTGCTGGGGACAAAGCCGCCAATCTGATGCCTGCTCTCTGCCTATTCTCTGCGCTTCCAAAGGCCTGGCAGGACTTGGCCTGCTCTGGATTCTGGCGTCTCCCCTCCCGGCCTCCTCTGCCTGCTGACATGGCAGCTGCCTCTCCAGCTTGGGCTCTGGAGATGCTTCCCTCTGGCCGGCCTGCACTGGGCACACCTGGCTGGGCCGCCACACCGCAGCTGTCTCACCTGCAACCTGCTTGGGGGGTGGGGGGGGGGGGGGGAGAAGGATGTCAGTGCCTACAGGCCCTGGGGGCAGGGGGACCATCCGGGCCTGATGAGCTGGCTGCCCTGACCCCTTCTCATCGCACCCTCTTCTCTCTCAGCACCTTTCCCCTGGGCCTCCTCCAGGCGGGGGCCTCAGGAAGGGCTGGCGCTCCCTCTGCTCACTGGGGGTCTTGGCCAGGTTCAGGACCCTAGAGCCTCTCGGAGACCCCGGCGGCCAGCCGCTTCCCCTGGGAGGACCACCGGACATTCCTCTGGATCCGGATGCAGATGTCCCAGACCCTGGGACGCGCCTGCCCCCCTTCACCCAACAGGGCCGGTGGGACTCGAGGCTTTTCAGTCTCCAGCTGACACCTGTTTCCTTGCCTACGCTCCAGGTCTACTGCAGCCCCTAGCCTAGGAGGGGCGTGGGGAGGAGGGTTACGGGGGGAGAAGAAGACCCCAGAAAGCGGAAGATCCACGCCTAGACGGGCCTGGGGGAGCAAAGCCTGTGGCCCCGTGGGAAGGGGCTGGCCTGGAGGAGGAAGCCGAGCCGTAGTCACACCCACGTTCCTGAATCCGCTCCCAGCTCGAGCCTTCCGTCCTCCCTCAGGACCAGGTCAGCATCCACGGGCTCCTGCCCGCACCCATCATGCCCCGGGGGTCCCATGGCTTAAAAAGCTTCCACACAGAGGACAGAGGGTGGCTGGTGGGTTCAGAGGAGGAAGACTGTGGCCTAAGCCTGTCCCTCGTGGGTCCCCTTGCCGCCTGCTCTGCGCCCAGAGGCCTCTCTCCCTGGGGCCTGGCACCTCACCTCCTCCGCGCTCCACACCCCGCCTCCACCCCTCCTCTCCCTCAGAAGTCCCGTCTCAGCCCCCTTCCCTTCCAGCGAGGGGATCCAGAGCTTCATCTCAGGGAGGGACACCTGGGTGCCTCCTGCCAAGCCCAAAGCTCAGCTGAGGCCCCTGGGCCGCTCCTCCTCCAGGGCCCCAGCGCGCAGGGCACGCCCCACCTCCCCAGAAGCAGGCACAGCGCGGCACAGCTCGCAGGGCAGGGAGGGAGGCACAGCGCGGGCACAGTAACCTGTGGGTCGGAGCCACCCGGGCTGCTGGCCGGAGGGAAGGCAGAGGGCTGGCCCTCTGGGCCCGCCAGCTCGTCCATCAGCTTCAGCTCCCCCTCCAGGGAGCTCTGGATCAGCAGGGATATGGTGTCAAACATCTGTCTGTCCTGGGAAGGACCAGCCCATAGGGGGAGCCGGAGAGTCAGGGAACAGGGGTCAGAGGGGCAGTGAGGGGAAGTGCGGTGGCAGGGGATTGGCCAGAGACACAGATGGAGAGAGAGGAGGACACACACACACACACACACACACACACACACACACACGTGGGCACACACAGCAACAAAGAGCCGGAGGAAGAGGAGGGAAGGGGAATGTGGGGAAGAGCGAGGGTTGGGGAGAGGAAGGGGAGATGGGAGATGGAAGGTAAGAGCCCACAGGGGGAGGGAGGAGGAAAGAGGAGATTGGGGGAAAGGTTTGAGAGATGGAACCAGGCAGGTTGAGGGTGGGAGGGAAAGAGGTTTGGTAATCGGGCAAGGGTAAGAAAGAAACAGGAAGGAAACAGAAAACTTAGCCTTGAACCTGAGAGCCAGGAAGGGGAGGCCAGGCCGGCGGAGGCTCAGGGGTGAGAGAGCCAGCAGCTGGTGGTGCTGGGCAGTGAGTGTGGGCCGCCGTCGCTGGGGATGGGCAGGGGACTGCTGGTCCCTCCACATCCAGGCAGGAGCAGCAGGAGGGCCGGGGAGCCCTTGGGTCCCAGTGCTGCCCACACCCTGTGTACCACCCACTGAGCCACTGGCCCCCGCCCCCCGTCCCCGTCCCCACGCCCCCTCTCGCAGGTGGGGACGGGTGCTCACCGTGGGGTGCTCCAGGGAGTAGCGCGAGGAGGCTGCTCCGGCGTGCGGGGCCCCGGGCTTGGGGCTGTCGGGGCCCTCGACCCGGGGCCAGAGGAAGGGGCTGCCCAGTGGCGAGCGGGGCTGCGGGCTGAGCGGCTTCATCTCCAGCTCCAGCTCGGCCTCCAGCTCGGCCTCCTCCTTGGCCTCCTTGTTGCTCTCCTCCAGGTGCTTCATCAGCACGGCGATCACCACGTTCACCAGCACGAACTGGGCCGTCAGCACGAAGGACACGAAGTAGATGGGGGAGATGACCGTGTTGTAGCAGGTGGACTCCTGGTCGCAGTCCCGGAGGGTGTCCTGGGCGGGGGCGGGGGCGGGCAGAGGGGTGAGGCCGGGCGGACAGCGGAGGGAGCTGTCACCGGTGTCACAGAGCATGAAGGAGGAGACGGAAGGGCAGGGGAGGGACCCACTGTGTGGGGGGGATGAGGAGAGATGGGTGGGGGGGAGGAGGAATGGGGCAGGGGAGCGTTAGACACTGGCCTGGGAAGCATGAGTCAGAACATGACCCGGGGAGAGGGAGGTGTGGTGTCCCCGCATTGGGGGCGGGGGCGGGAGGGATAGCAGGGCATGTGCTTTTATTTTTATTTTTTTATTTATTTTAAAAAATATATTTTATTGATTTTTCTTACAGAGAAGGGAGAGAGCTACAGAGCTAGAAACGTCGATGAGAGAAACATCAACCAGCTGCCTCTTGCACACCCCCTGCCGGGGGATGTGCCCGCAACCAAGGTACATGCCCTTGACCAGAACTGAACCTGGGACCTTTCAGTCCACAGACCGAGGCTCTATCCACTGAGCCAAACCGGTTTCCGCAGGGAACGTGCTTTTAGTCACATCTCGCCAAAGAATCTTGGCTCCAGATGTAGGGCTTGTCTTTCGGGCCCCAAGCCAGCCCTGGGGGTAGCCCGCGGCGGGGGCTCTCACCTTCATAATGCCGTTCCAGTTGTCCCCCGTGGAGACTCGGAAGAGGGTCAGAAAGGCCATGCCAAAGTTCCGGAAGGTGGCATGCCGGCCCAGGCCCTCGCAGGGGTGCGTCTCGTCACACTCTGGAGGCGGGACGGGGGGAGAGAGGCCCGAGTTAGCCCGGGAGGCCCGGGGTCCCCCCGCCCGGCTCCCCCACCCTCCCCGCCCCAACTCACCCAGGTCTCCAAAGAGCTCCACGCCCAGAGCTGCAAAGATGAAAAACAACAACATGAAGAGAAGTCCCAGGTTCCCCACCTGGAAAAGAGGAAAAGAAATGGAAAAGGTGCCGCTGGGTCTCCCCGCCAGCTTCCCTGAGGGCCCCCCTTACCCCCACCCCTCAGAGAGCACCCCCCCCCCCGAGAGGACCCCTCCCACCGGCCCCTCCTCCTGGCTACCTGGGGCAGGGCCTGCATCACCGTGTCCAGCAGCGCCCGCATGCCCACGGCCATCTTCAGCAGCTTTAGCACTGCAGAAAGGACAGAGTCATGAGCAGGACCCTCGGAGTCCCAGGTCACGTAGCTGGTGGGGCCACGGCCAGGGCCGGGGCGGGCAGGGTGCCTGGCCCCAGCGAGCCAGCTGACATGGGTCCACTGCCACCCTCAGCCCAGCCCCACCGTCCCCTTTGGCGGAGGCCAGGAGAAATACCCACAATCCCACGGGAACCCACACCTACCCAGGCCCTGGCCAGCGCCCGAGCCAACCCCTGGAATCTCCCCCCCAGGGCCGGTCGCCCAGGGAGGGGAGTGTGTGGGCAGGCAGCTGGCACTGACCTCGGGCGATGCGCAGCACCCTCATGATGCGGATGATGGTGGGGTTGATGGGCAGCGAGGCGTTGACCTCGATCTCCTCCAGCGTGATGCCCATGATGGACAGCAGCACGATGGCCAGGTCCAGCTGGTTCCACCTGGAATCCAGGACACAGACCCCTGAGTGTGTGTGTGGGCGGGGGAGGGGGGGCTCTGAGGAGGAGAAGGAGGCAGTTTGGGCTCCAGAAAGGAGGGCGGAGGTCGCTTGTCTATGTCACGTGGCCAGTCCAGTCGGTGGCACAGGCAGGGCTAGGACTTCAGCTTGAGGGCCTCTGCTCTTCACTGTCATCCATTTGCTGTTTCATTTAGCGCTTACATGCTGTTTGCTATGTGCCAAGCACTGTTCTAAGGGCTTTATAAACAGGAACGCTTTACGGCTCTCTGATATGGACACAGTATCGCCCATTTTACAGATGAGGAAATGGAGGCACAGAGACTTTAAGGAACTTACCCAAGGCCACCAGTTTAGTGGTAGAGCCAGGATTCAGATCTGGTCCAGGCAGTCTGGCTCCCGCTCTCTGCTCTTAAGCCCCAGTCTAGGCCACACTGATTTCCAGCTGCCCCTGCCCCCCAGGCCCTGTCTCGTCAAGTTCCCTTCCTTCTCTCCCATCTCCCAGGCCCTGGGTACCACACAGCCCACCTACCCTCAGCCCTTGGAAGGTCCTGGGCTGAGTCTCAGGAGTCCAAAAAGGTCTTCAGGCTCTAGGTCCTCCCCTACTCCCAAATCCTCCTGTCACCTATCCCCTTCCCCTCTCTGTCACCTGCCCCCTCCCCCTCTCTGTCACCTGTCCCCTTCTCCTCTCTGTCACCTTTTCCTCTGTAACCTGTCCCCTTCCCCTCTGTCACCTGTTCCCTTCTCCCGTCACCTGTCCCCTTCTCCCGTCACCTGTCCCCTTCCCGTCACCTGTCCCCTTCCCCTGTCACCTGTCCCCTTCTCCTCTGTCACCTGTCCCCTTCCCCTGTCACCTGTCCCTTTCTCCCGTCACCTGTCCCCTTCCCCCCTGTCACCTGTCCCCTTCCCCTCTCTGTCACCTGTCCCCTTCTCCCCTGTCATCTGCCCCCTCCCCCTGTCACCTGTCCCCTTCCCCCCTGTCACCTGTCCCCTTCCCCTCTCTGTCACCTGTCCCCTTCCCCTCTCTGTCACCTGTCCCTTTCTCCCCTGTCACCTGTCCCCTTCCCCTCTCTGTCACCTGTCCCCTTCCCCCCTGTCACCTGCCCCCTTCCCCTCTCTGTCACCTGTCCCTTTCTCCCCTGTCACCTGTCCCCTTCCCTTCTCTGTCACCTGTCCCCTTCCCCCCTGTCACCTGTCCCCTTCCCCTCTCTGTCACCTGTCCCCTTCCCCTCTCTGTCACCTGTCCCCTTCCCCTGTCACCTGTCCCTTTCCCCCCTGTCACCTGTCCTGGAAGAACCGACGGAAGCCAAAGGCCACGAGTTTGAAGACTGACTCCAAGACGAAGATGATGGTGAAGATGTAGTTGCAGATCTTCAGAGCCTCGTCCAGGATCTGGCAGGGATGGGGCACGATGGCTAAGGCCAGGGGTGATACCTGCTGTCCCCCGCACCCGCCAATCACACCTCCCAGATCTGGGCGACAGGGGCGTCTGAGAGGACCTTTCTTCCCTGTTCCCGCCATGTTGGCTGACCACTGCTGACTGCTCTCGGACAGGGTAGGGTCCCCATTCTCGTGCATCACCCAAACCCCGTGCTAAAGGATCTCTGAGGGACGGTGAGGAGCCCCCGTGACAAATGTGCTGGAAGGCAGAGATGGCAAGAACTGGAAGGGGCCTTGGGCGTTACCAGTTCAATGTTCCTATTTTACAAATGGGGAAACTGAGGCCAGGAGGGCAGCCATGAAAGCTGACGCGAGGAGTGGCAATCGGTGAGTTTGGGGGCTGGGCATTCAATAGAACCCACACTCCAGAGGGCTGGCCCTGGTCTATCTTCTTTTAAAATTTATTTTATTTTTGTTCATCCTCACTCAAGGGTATTTTTTCCATTGATTTTTTTTTTTTTTTTGAGAGAGTGGGAGAGAGAGGGAAACAGAGAAACGTGAATGTGAAAGAGACACTATCAATTGGTTGCTTCCTACACATGTCCCAACTGGGACTGGGGATCGAACCCGAGGCCCTTCTGTGCCTGGGCCACTGCTCTCACCACGCAGCACCACCGGCGAGGCTAGGGCCAGTCTGCCTTCTCTACCCCCCCAGGCTCAGAGCTCAGCACAGGACAGGCACTCAGTCCCTGTGTGCTGGGTGAAGAAGTCAGGTCCTCTCCTTTCAAGCTGTGCGGCCTTGGTCAAGTCAATGAACCTCTCTGAGGCTCAGTGTCCTCACCTGTTAAACTGAGGTGAGACCCGCCTCCCAGAATGGAGAGAGGGAGGGACACAGAGGAACCCATGCAGAGCGCCAGCTCAGGCGTGGCGGGTCTCACCCCGGGGCCCCACGGCAGGAGGCGGGGCCCACACGGCCGGCCCCTCACTCCTACCTGGGGCTGCTGGTAGTGCTCCATGGCCATGGTGACCACGTTCAGCCCGATGACGCCGGTGATGAAGAGGTCCAGGTAGTGGCTGGTGCAGAAGTTGTGGACGAGGAGCCGGAAGCGGGAGTAGTCCGAGTAGTAGGGTTTGCACTGGGCTTCTGGTGGGGCCAGGAGGAGAGCAGAGGCCGTGGGGCCCTGGTCCCTGCGGCCCCTCCGCCCACAGTCCCTCATAGCCACCAGCTTCTAATGCCCGAGCCGAAACATTCCAGGATCATCCACACCCTCGCTCTCATCTACTTCCTTTTCGGGGGGTGGGGGAGCTCTCTCGGCATCGCCCCTCCAAGCGTCTGTGCTACTGGCTACGGACGGTGCAGAACGGTCAGGACATGCAGAGCTCCCCGCCCCATTAGACACTAGGTGAGCCCCCTCCCTGAGGCAGCCTCCAAACTCCACCAGCCCCGCAGAACTTCCCGGCTCGGTGTCCAGCAACCAGGCCAGATCAAGATGAAAAACAACCGGTCTTATCAGGCTCGGAGGGAACTCCGTCAACAGAGAGGCGAAGGCTCCGGCTCCTTCACCGAGCGGCCCTTGAGGGCAGCGGAGGAGATTACACAGAGCCGGGATTTGGAGATAAAACCGGAGATTGGAAATTGGACATCGTCTTGGCAGGCTGCACTGACCCTCCCCCCCTCTCCCTGGTCCCCCAGAGAGCCTCCGGGGAGGCAGGGCCTGGGCCTCCTGCACCCTCATGTGCAGGAGGGCAGAGTGGAGGCCACAGGGCCCTGCTCTGTCCCAGGCTCATCTGGGAGGACCCCACTTGCAGGACTCACCCAGTTTCTAATGAGGGAGCCCAGCCTGCTCCGGGGAGGGGCCCGGGGCAGCGTTAGATGCAGGCTGGGCCGAAAGCACTGTCTGAGATCTGTCAGAGGCATGCTCGTTCTCTTGTCATTAGGAAATCACTTTGGCATAAAAATCATGGTGCCAGGAAGTTGGCCTGTGACGCAGGCAGAATGCATCGGAAGGCGAGAGATTGCGGGGAGTCGGGGGGCCTCCTCCAGGTGCCGGGGAAAGGCTAGGCCGAGTTGGGGGATACATGCCATCCAGGGGTGGCGGACAGAACGGCCTCCCAAGGAAAAAGAGGCTTCGCACAGGAGGCCGGGGCAGCCTCAGGTCCCAGACAGCCCTTCCCCCCCAGGAAGTCTAGGGCGCAAGCCAGCTAGCGAAGGCTGCAGCCTCTGAGGCCCTTGCCAGGGGTGGCAGGAAGCTCTGGGCTCAGGCCAGCTCATCTAGAATCGTCCTTTCCCATGCAGAGGACCGTTGAACAGAGAGGTAAATCGAGGCGGGGAGTGGCCTGGGTGGGCCCCCACCAAAGGCCGAAGGAGGAAGAGCACCCGAGAGCTTGCACGTTCAGCCTCGCCCGGTGCCACAGTCCAGCATCGGCCCTGAGGTGTGGATAACCGAGAGGCAGCGGGGCTAGAATGTTTGGGCACGTCGCCGGGTGAGCTAGGTCATGGCTTTGCCTTCGGAGGGGGGCCAGCCAGCAGTGGCTTTGTGTGCTCCGGCGGCCCTCCTGGCCCCCAGGAGGGTGGCGATGGAGAGGCCTGGCCCAGGGGACAGCGGGAGGCCGAGGGTCATCCACAGGGCGATGGTGGAGGGTGGACCGGGCGAGGGGCCTCTTCCTTCCTTCCTGCAGTACCCGCAGGACCAGAGGGCGCTAGCCGCCCGCCCGTGTTGCTTTAGCAGCTGGAACTCTTTCTCTGCATTAATCTCCATAAGTGCCCAGGGCACCGAGTCCATTATGCTAAAATATGAATGGAGAATTAACTAAAATGTTTGAATACAATTAGGTTAGAAGAAGTGGCTCCTTATTAGCCCCCGTTATTAGCGGGGACCATGCAGAGGAGAGGTGCGGAGCGTGCCCCCTCTCCCCTCTCGCCCCAGTCTGACGGTCTAGGCGGCCCCAGGACCAAGTGAGCCTTCGCCCCCACCTCTGCCATCTGGCCAGGGACCCCTCCTCCAAGTGGCCCAGAGAGAAAGTGGGGGCAGGACGACTGAGGCAGGGCATCTGCTCATACGACTGGCCAGCCGGTCGGTCCCAGCCCCTGAGGTCTCTGCAAATGCCTTTCCACCCCCACCCCCACCCCACCCCAGACCAGCGGGGGCAGAGGCTGCTGGGAAACCCCTGTTAGGGCACAGGCCAAAGTGCACCTGGCCAACCCCTTTGTCTGAAGAGAACGGGGCCGCCAGACAGCGAGGCGTCCATACACTGGGAGGCGGTGACAGAGCCCGGACTTGAACTCCCAGCTCGAGGCCCCCGGCAGCTGCCAGGTGGGCACAGACCCACAGCTCGGGGCTTTGGCCCTGAGGATGCCCTCGGAGAGTTCGCCAAAGGCCCTCGCTGTTGGGCTCTGAATGATGACGCCCCTTTTCTGCTCCCCAGACCCATGGTTTTATAGGCAGTATCTGGGCGCCCAGCAGAACCGGAAACACCCTCGACCCCACCCTCTGGAGAGCTCTGGCCATTGCCCAGGAGGGGCCCAAACCAGTGGTCCCTGGCATGTTGGCAGCCCTGGCCCCACCTCCCTGCCTCCCAACAGTATGAGCTGTTTTAGGCAGAGAAAATACCAGAGTCAGACAGTGGGGAGAAGGGCACGCGGGGTCTGCCCCGCCCCCAGTCAGGGGCAGGAACACAGGAGAGGTGCAGGGGGGCGGGGTGTGAGGCTGTGAGTGAGGGCAGCAGGCACAGTGTGTTAGTAGGGGTCACTGGGAGCCCGAGGATTTGCAAAGGAGAGTGGCAGGGAGTAGGCGGAAGGTGGAGACACAGGCCCCCACGGCAGAGGCCACACCATCAGCTGCCGCAGCCAAGCCTGCTAGCTGGGGTCAGTGGGACAGGAGAGGGCAGTGCCAGCAGGCATCCCACACAGGTGCAGGGCGAGTGGAGCTGGTGCCAAAGGCCATGGGGTCCCTTGGGGCTAACCTGACTGCCCAGGCTGGACCCAGCTGGCCAGTCAGACCCATTGCCCTGGTGACCAAAGCCTTTCCCCGCTGGCCTCTCCCTGGGGTTGGGCTGAACCCCTCCCGCTGGGCACAGCACTGGTATTAGCTGGGAGGTGTTGGGTTCTTGCAGCCCCAGGCTAGGGCGTGTGACGTCATGCCGGGGACACGGTGGGTGGGATTGGCAGGTGGGATAGGCTATCGCTGGCCCCTGGGAGCTGACTGGAAATGCAGATGCTCCCCTCCAGCCCCAGTCCACACGTGAGCACTTCTAGGCAGGGCTCAGGAATCTGTGTCTTAATATGTTCTCTGGGCAGTTCTTGGGCACACAGAGATTTGAAAAGCTCTGGTATGGACCACCCGGGACCCCAGATCTGGGAAAGAGGGATGTGGGACGATCTGAGGCCCTCTTTGGGGTCTCTGAGCACCCATCACCGGCTGGAAAGGTAACGCACACTATTGTAATCAGTGTGCATACTCTCAGGTGCCAAGAGGAGCGAGCCCACAGAATGTCCCTGAAAGGGGGGGGGGGGGTACGGCGTGAGAGTAACGAGGGTGTTTAGCATCGAGCCAGCGTGTCAGGAGTTCTCGGAGGCTGTGAGCGTCTGCGTGTGCTGGTTCGTGGTGGCGGAGCTCCTGTGGCCCAGCCCGACGCCACGGTGGTATTTTGGGGTGAGCGTGTACGTGTGGACACTTCAGCCTACAGACCAGGTGAACCCACAGGGAAAAACTGAAGGCTACGGCCTCCCACCTTCTCCTCACCGCCGAACACATCTGGAGCCTGCAGGACAGGCTGACGCAGGAAGCGGACCCAGGCACCCCAGACAGACCAGCGGGAGACGCCAGCGCCCCGAGAGACACCAGAGCTTGCACCACGGGGCCAGCAGACAGCCACCCGCCTGGGGCTCAGGGATGACCTCCCACACGGGGGCAGGGGGAGTCCCTGAGCCCCCGTAGCTCAGAGAGCCCAACATCCACAGGGCAGCGCCTGCAGGAGTCTTATCTGGGGGGGAGCGCGGAAGAGGGGAGGAAGGCTCAGCCCAGTGGTCCCCAGCCTGAAGCCCCGCGCCCTCAGCAGCCTGAGAAGGCAGCCACAGGGGGTTCTTAGGTTCCTTTCAATATTTCTAAAAGCTTAAAAGAAATCACACATACGCCTGTGTCAAGAGCCCACAGAGGAACTGAATGGAAATGTTTTGTTTTGTTCTGCGTTTTTTTCTTCTTTTTTTTTTTTTTTGCATCATTCAGTGTGAAACCTTCTGCGGCTTAGAAGCCCTGATTAGCAATTAATGTGCCTTTGATTAGCAAAAACCAAAACAGAGTCGTCATTGAAATGCTCTTAACTTCAAACACAGACTTGTGTCACGTGGGGTCTGTTGGCGATGATAAGGGGGGGGAGCCCTTGGCTTGGGGATACACAGGTTGGGAACCACTGCGTGGAGACGGCAGAGGGTGTAGCTGAGGTCCCACTGCCCTGACCCAGATTCTCATGGCCTCAGAACGCCGTCTGGGGGACCTGTCGGCGGAGCAGGCGCCGAGGACCCAGGGAGGGCAGGCCGGGAAGGCTCCCCAGAGACCGGCTCTCAAAAGAGAAGGACCCAACGCACTCCCAAATCATGGGGTTTCAGGGAGAAGCGGATGGCTAACTCAGGCCCCGGATCCCCAAGTCACTGCTGTTTGTAGGGGTGACGTGGCCACCGCGATTGCCGGACGATTAATGAGTCTGTTCAATGATTCATCGTTACATTTTTAAAACAAATCCTTCCCCTCGCGGCTCCTCTCATCCTGCTCACTTGATCAAAGTCTCCCCTTCAGACAGAAGGAGCCGGAGGGAGAGATTTGCAGCTCTAATCACCGAACGGTGTGTGACCTGGGAGGAGGAGCAGGAGTGGGAAGAAGCAGCAAGGGGCTGGGGAGCACAGGGGTGGGGAGACTTGGAAGAGAAGGTGGGTCCTTCAAGAGGTGTCTGCGGGAGGGGGTGCTGAGACCCTCACCTCCCATCTATGGGAGGACCCGGAGCCCAGCACCCCAGGGTCCCTCCCCACTGCGCCCCGAGAGGATAGAACCAGTGAGCCCTGGAGAGGCAGCAAAGAGGAGGTCCCCAAACCCAGGAGACGGGCCTGGGGGCAGGCAGGGCCTGACCACCCCCGGGCCGCACCCTGGAACCCGCAACCCCAGACGCAGTACCTGGCGCCGCGCTGGAGGAGCTGCCGGAAGCAATTACATCGTCCAGCATTAGATCTAAAAGAACGAAACACATGGGTCACTGGCCGGACCTGGCGGGCTGGGCAGGGCCCCCTCAGCAGCTCGCTCCCCCTCGGCTCGAACCCTCACTCCGCCTGTGAATGAATGGGGTGTGGGTGGCTGGTCCTCCGTGTCCAGCCCCAAGCTCGGGGCACCGAGCACTGGAGGAAAAGAAACTATCCAACCACCTGGACAGGGTCACGGGGACAGGGGATGGGGCACAGGGAGGGGCAGGCAGCCCATCATCAGAACAGATGTCCACGCCTACCTGTGCCCTGGCCTCAGCAGCACCTGAGGCGGCTCCAGACCCCAGAAGGGGAGCCAGCTGGCCAGGCAGGGCCACAAGTGCCTCCTGCCAAAAAGAACTCCGTCTGCAGATGCCCTGCCAAGGAGGCAGACTGCAAAGAGGGGAGGGGGGACAGAGCAGGGGTGGGAGCACAGCTTCTGGGGCCGATGTGCCTGCTGAGCTTCAGACACTCACAGAGCGAGCCGAGAGGGGACCCTGCCCCAAGCTGGGCGGCTCGCCTGGGACACGGGGATGGAGCATGGGGGATGGGGACAACTGCGGCCCCGCCTCTCCCAGGGCACGCGGGCTCCGCCCCACCCTCACCCGCTTGGTGGTACTCACATGTCAACACACCAAAGAGCAAACTCCCTGCACCCAGCTTATCGGCGGAATGGAGGCGGTTTGTGAAAAGGTGGAGAGAGAAAGGGAGACCCCGCAGACCCAGCAGGGACAGACACACAAAGGCTTAGAGAAACCCACACACAGAGACACGTGGAGACACGTGGGCAGTGACAGGAAGAGAGAACCGGGGAGAGTCCTGGGTACCAGACAGGCAGGCGGGCAGGAGCCCCGGAGACAGGTGCCGGCACACCTGGAGGCTCCGAGGAACGAAGGGGCTCCTACACCTGTCACATCTCGTCCGTCCTTCCTGCACACTGTGTCTTTCCCCTGAGTCTCATGGCAGAAGAGAGGGAAGGGGAGGGGGTCTCCCCCAGCCAAGGCCAAGAAATGTTGGGGATCACAGGTGAGGGGGCTGAGGGCTCTAAGGCCGGAGAGTCATGTGCTTAGAGTTCCTGTGACCTCAGACCTTCCCTGAGCCAGGAGGAGACTTTTTTTATTTGTATTTTTTTTTTTTTTTTTTACAGCTTGGCTAAAAACTGACAGTCGGAAAGGCGGGGAGTTTTGCTGAAGACAGGAAGGGAGAGGGGGTCTGGGGTCCCCTCTCGCTGCTGTCCATCGGCAACCTCTGTCGAGACCTTGCTCAGCAGCTAGACAGTAGGCAGGCACGGGTTCAAGACGCTTGCGTGCCAGCCCTGGGCCGGGCAAGGCTGGCACGCGGGCCAACCCCTGGGTCTCTGGACACTGGCCCCGGACAATGGAGCCTGATTCTCATCCCATGAGGCCCCTCTGAGAGTCGAGCTGGGAGAGGGTGTGCACAACTCCCCTGGAATCCTCTCTCTCGGGAGTATAATGCGGAGACCTGGGGAGCCCTCAGGGTGGGGCGGCCCCCGTCCCCCACGGGGCTGACCTGGTCTGCTTCATGCTGGCTCTACAGGCTGGCATGCTCCTGTGGGGGAGGAGGTGAAGGCGGGGGGTGGGAGCAGCGTCTCCCTGCCCCCAGCCCCAGCCTCAGCCCCTGGCCCCCGACAGACAGTCGCAAGGCCAAGGTCAAGCAGGACTCAGAGAGATGTGGAAAGGCTACCGACCGGCCATCTGCTTCTCCTTACTCCTTCTCTTTTTCTCCAGCCTCCGCAGCCGCTTCTCCTCCCGCCGCCGGGCCTCCTCCTCCTCCTGGTGCTGCCGGCACTTGTGGAAGTTCTCCACCACCACGCCCACGAACATGTTCAGGACAAAGAAGGCCACAATGAGCAGGAACGAGATGAAGTACAGGAGCATCCAGGGGTTGTGGTTCATGATGGGCTGGCGGGGAGCAGGAAGGACAGGAGGCGCCATCAGCCCGGGGGACTGTCTCGGTGATGCCCCATCCCCTGGGCCCTCTGAGACAGGGCCCACGCATGCACGCAGTGAGCTGCAGGGACCCAGCAGGGGATGGAAACAGACCGGGCGGGCTCAGCGTTCGGCAGTAGGGAGGGGTGGGGACTGCGGCCAAGTGGAGAATGGCTCTATCTTAAAAGGGAAGCTGCGTCTTTGTTCCTGCTGATTCCAGCCTCGGGGTGGGGGGAAAGGGGGGAGGATGGACGGGGGGGGGGGGGGGAGTAGGGGGTAGGAATGCAAGCCCAGTGTTCCCAGGCCTTTGGCTTTCTCCTGAGCAGGCCCACGTCTGGATTTTCATGTGCAATTCGCCAGCTTTTAAATGCCCACCACGAATTCACAATATTTAAACATGCTGCAAAGCCAGTGAGACATGCCTGGGTCTGGCCCTCAGGCTGCCCGTTACCGCCTCGGCCATGAGAAGCAATGCCTCTTCCACGGCCTTTTCCCAGCCTGCCCTGCCCCCTCTCTCTCTAGTGTCTGCACTTGTCATGCCTGGTGTCGGCCCATGCGGAGTGCCCTCAGCCCACACGTGGGTCCTGCCCACCTCGGCCCTACCTGCTGGTCCACGCCCACGGCGTCCAGCCCGTCGTACATGATGTCCACCCAGCCGTCCTTGGAGGCCAGCACGAACAGGGACATCAGGGCCTGGGGGGGGGGGTGAGGAGAAGGAGAGGAGACCGTCGGAAATCTAGGATGTGCAGCCAAACCACCCTCTACCTGTCCTCAAAGCACCCCCTGGCAGCAGCTTGGGGGACCCCAGCCCCTCTGAGGTCAGGCTGGGGTCACACTCCAGGCCCCTGGAGGGCTCGGAAGCTGGTATGAAACCGGAAGGGCCGTGATCAGACCCTCGGAACTTCAGAAACCAAAACCAGGGTGGGCCCAGGAAACGCACCCGCCAAACGGAGGGAAGTACTTCTTTGTGTACATCTCCCTGCTCCTGTGAATGTGGAGTGGGAAAAGGAATCGACCCTGTGCCTGTGCCAGGACTCGAAAACATACACCTCGTCTCACTGCCCCCTTCCTGTGGGCCTCCACGGGAGACCCCACAGGGTCCATTCCCCCGCCGAGCAGGAGTCCACTGCCCTGCGGGCATCATGAAGCCGGACTTGTGCCCTCTGGGGCCTCCTGCCACCACCCCCAGCGCCACCCCAGGCCTGGCTCACCTGGCCGAGGTTGTCGAAGTTGTACTTGTGTCGGACCCACCGGTAGCTGGCCTCGGCACAGTCAGACTTGTTGGTGATGTTCCTGGTGTCCTCACCCTGGCATACGAAGAACTTCCCTTTGAAGAGCTGGACACACAGGCGCCCGGAGACAGGGAGAAGCGAGCTGTGACCCCCGGACGCCCAAGACTCCCAGCCCCACCTCCCAGCCGCCCCGGGGCCCAACAGCTCTGCGTCCATCCTGGGTGAGGGCAGGGGGCCCAGCCCGGGGATCAGCGGGGTCAGGGAACCACCCCTACAGGCACCCCTTCCTCTGGGCTCCTTGGAGCAGAGCCCTAGAGAAGGGAGGGGCGGGTGGCTACTGAAAAGAAGGGTGAAAGGATAGGAACTGCCATTCCTTTTCTACAAAGAGCTGGTCTCTCCAATTGGGTTCCTGGACCAGCATCAGCGTCATCTGGGAATGTGCTACAATTACCAATTCTCAGGTCCACCCAGACCCACCGCATAGGACAGTCTGGGAGAGGGGCCAAGTGATCCGGCTTAATGGTGGGGCTGGGCCAGGTATTACTGGCCCCACTTTATAGATGAGGAAAACTGAGGCTCAGAAAAGTGAATTCACTCACTGAGGTTGTAGGACCTTATACGACCAGAAAGGGGGCTCACGCTCAAGGTCTGTGTGACCGAAAAGCTCACCCTCATTCCAGAACAGACCAGGCTCTGACTGCGGGTGAGGAAGGGGCGTGAGGAACGAGGACCAGGGGGCCTGGGCAGCTGCTCGGGACAGACCTAAAGCCCCTGGAAGAGCCCCAGACAGGGCTCCGCAGTGGTTCCCTCTCCTCATCCAAGCAGGCGGGAGGAGAGGGAAGGAGAGGGGCTCTGGTCCTGCAGGGAACCACCCCACCGCCTTGGCAACTGCACCTGAGCCGGGTCCCCGGGGCCAGAGGATTCCAGGAAGCCTGGAGCAGCCCCATCCCTCCCCAGGGCAGAGAAGACATCCAGAAAGTCAAAGGAAAGGCGGGGACAGGGGTAGCCACTCAGGAGCTCCCTGCTGCCCAGCAGCCAGCTGTCCGCCCTGCAGCTGAAACAGCCGGGCCAGGGGCTGGGGAGACAGGGTGGAGGGGCTCCCAGAGGCGCCTGCGGAATCCTATAGGCAGCTCCCGCTCTGCTTTCTCCGAAGCCAAGTTCCCTCCCCGGGCCAGAGGCCAGGTTTCCCCTGCAGCCCCCACTTCCTGCCTCGTCTGGGGTCTGCCCCCGCCCGCCCGCCTGCCTGCCTGCCAGCACGCCGCTAACCTGGCCCAGCTGTCTGGGCCCTGGATCCCCGGGCCTGGCCTGCAGCCCACCCCACTCCAGCAGGGAAGGCAGGGAGGGGATCCCGGAGCAGACGGCGGGCCCGTGCCAGCATCTGTGCTCCAAGTGCAGCGCGCGAAGGGGGAGGAACAGCAGCCTGCAGCTGTCCCAGGTCAGAAGCCTCTCGGAGGCCCGCGCCCCCTTCGGGGCCCTCTTCCAGGCTGCCAGCTTTCTGCAAAGTGCCCAGGCGGCAAAGAGGCCCAGGCCCAAGGCCGGGGGAAAGCAGCCCTGCTTATTGCTTTCTGGAACAAAGGTGGCACCGGCGTGGGCCTCGCCATCCCAGGACCGAGAGGAAAGCCACTCCTCAGGCTTCGGCTGCCAGCGGGCCCCCCTCCACAAACCTGCACCCCCAGGATGCCGAAAATGATGAAGAAGGCACAACAGATGACCACAATGTTCCCGATGGGCTTCAGCGAGGACATCAGCGTCTCCACCACCAGCTTCAGGCCCTGTGCCCGGCTGATCACCCTGGGGAGGCAAGGGGATCAGAGGGGTTCCCCCAACTCGGACACTCCCCTGTCTCTCGCCCTGCTGCTCCGCCCCCCAATCTTGGTTCCTTGGTCCCCTGGACTCAGGTTGAGGGAAGAGGTGGGCTCTCTGGGCTGGCTGGGCAGAGCGACCCCTACCACCGGAATTCTCACCCATGATCTCTCAAAACAGGAAGCAGACACTCACTCTCCCCTCCCCTCCCAGGAAGTCAAAGAGGACCTGATGGAGCTAGGTAGGGACTCAGCTCAAGAAAGGTGTTCCCAAGGGGTGGGGGTGGGGGGATGCAGTGTGTTGTGAGGATGGGGACAGACACTTGTGGGGAGCGTGCAGGGGGCGAGCAGGGAGGAAAGGGGGTGTGGCTGTCACAGCCTGGGAAGCATCAGTAGTCAGTATAGTCCCCATTGGTTTCCCCAGCCACGGACAGTTCTCTGTCCTTGGGGACGATTTCCTGAGGGGGTAGGGCCCCTGGGGAGGGTTTCCTGAGGGGGTGGGTCTCTGCTCCACCTGGAGGGTGGCCCCTGAGAGGGGCGTGAAGGTGAAGAAAGCAAGGAAAGGAGTGTGCGGCTTTACCAGGGTGGGCACTGCCACCCTTGAAGGTACCACCCAGGACCCTTTATCCTGTGCCGGGCACAAGGCCAGGGGCACAGTCGCGCTGAGCACCATGTCCTCTAGGGGGAGTCCCTGAGGGAGGTGCCCAAGGACAGGACACGGCGGCGGCAGGGTTCTCCGTGGGGGGTCACGGCAGGGAGCCAGGGCGGGCGAGGTCCGCCCCATGGCGCCGGGCGGGGGCTCACCGGAGCGGGCGCAGGGTCCGCAGCAGCCGCAGCACCCGCAGCATGCCCAGGATCTTGGTGCCGCTGTCCGACACCATGGACACCAGGATGTCGATGATGGAGATGAGCACCAGCAGCCCGTCCAGCACGTTCCAGCTGCTGCGCAGGTACGCCTGCTCCCCGAAGCACCAGCCCAGCGCCACCACCTGGGGGTGCCGCACACCACTGTCACCATGGCCCTCTGCGTCCGCAGCCCTGCCCCCACCCCCCAGAACCACCGCGACCCCATCACCTTCACGGTCATCTCCGCCAGGAAGACGGCGGTGAAGACGTAGTTGGAGAGGGTCAGGAAGATGCGCTCCTGCAAGAGAGAGCAGGCGGGAGTTGCCCTCCGGGCTCCTTGGGCCAAGTCTGCGCTGCACACAGAACCCAGCACCGTCCCAACAGAGGACTCCGAAAATGACCCCTGCCCTCCCCAACAAGGCAGATAAGCTTCTTTGCCTCCTCACACACCACACACATACACACACACACACACACACAGTGCTAGGCTCCTGGCTCACTTGCTGTTCCCCTCCGCAGAGCAGCCTGGAGGGGGGATGACCACACCACAGTGCTGCTGGCTGAGCCCCATATCTCAGGCCCTATCCCGATTTCTTTCTTAAAAGTGGGGCAGGATTTAACTTGATCTCCGACCCCCTCTCTCCCCCCTTCTATTCTCTTCCTGCTCCACGGACTCCCTTTCCTGCTGTGTGCCCCAGAAACGGAGCCACAGGGTGAGCTGGGGCCTGAGTGCGCGCTGTGCATGCCCAGGAGCAGGGCTTGTGCTGGGCATAGGCCGGGGCAGGAGGGGGAAGGAGGCGGCCCAGTGCCCTGATGGCTGCAGGCGGGTCCCATGGCTGGGTGGCCAGAGAGGAGTGTGGAGGACGGCAGAGGCAGCAGGCAGAGCGGGAGTGTCAGAGAGAAACGGAGAAAGGGGAGAGGGAAGCGTGCATGACAGCTGGCCATGGAGGAGCCGCATGGAGGTCGGGGAGAGACGTCGGGGCCGTGGCAGAGCTCTGCAGCAGGGTCAGTGTCACCCGGGGCCCGGGCCGCACCCCACACAGGCCCGGGGGGGGGTGGGGGTGGGGGGCGGGGAGTCCCCAGTGCTGTGCTCACTCATCCACCTCTTCCTGGGCTGGCCCCTCCATCCCTCAGGGCTTTACCCCACCCCCCAACCGCCGCCTGGCTGGAGCCCACCCTAATGGAAGCCAGAAGCCACCGCGGCGCTGACATCTGAACAATGGCGTGAGGCAGTGAGGGGGGACGGGCGCCACCTCCAAGCATGTGGTGCAAGACGCCACGAGAGGCAGCAGAGCCACCCCCACCCACCCCTCTTGGACCAGAACCATGTCGGGGGAGGGGCTGTGATGCCAGGCCGGGGAGAGAGAGCTCCCGGAGCAGCCGGGCCCACCCCGAGGAGGCGGGGCCCCTGGGAGGATGTCCTGAGACTCAGGCCTCTGGCCTCTCCTTCTGAGGAGGACTGACAGGTTCACGGCCAAGCAGAAGTGACCAGTGTCCCATACACCCCTCCCCGTGCCCCTGAAAACCTATTTGTGGTGACCTGGCAGGACCACAGGAGCCAAGGCAGCTTCCCTCTCTTGTTCTGCATCCCCCATCAATGAATGCATGGGTCATGGGTCATGGGTCATAGGTGAAACGGAGGCCCTTTGCCAGGAGCAGGGAAAGCAAGACAGCTCTGCCCAGCCAGGACCAGTCTCGCTGTTTGCCTCATCCCAACACTCACCGCCTCACACAGGGGCCTCACAAGGCTCCGGCTCGCGAGAACACGCCGTCTGCAAATAGCCGGGTGCGACGGACCTCACTTTTCACCGGGAGAGGAGCAGAGCCCCCTCCCTCCCCCCCAAGCTGGGCCGGTGTGCCAGAGAAGGGAGACAGAGGCAGGAGAGGGGCACAGGCGCCAGCCGCAAGGGTGGAAGTCGGGGGGCTGGGGGGGTACGGGGGAGTCCTGGCTCTCTCCCTCTGTGCGGTTCGGGGTCTCCGTGCCCACCCTGCTGGCTAACCCGGGAGGGGCCTGGCACCCAGCAGGCAGGCACTCAGCAGCCAGCACGCCAGAGTCGTCCCGGGACTCACAGCGCTGTGCGGGTCGATCTTGGGGCGCTCCATGGCGATGGTGATGCAGTTGAGGAAGATGATGACGAGGACCACGTGGTCGAACATCTTGTGGGTGATGATCCGGTGACACAGGAGGCGGAACCTGCTCCGGGACAGAGGCCAAGGCTGAGCGGGAGGCGGGGCAGCAGGGAGAGGCATCGCCCGAGGCCCCGCCCCCTCCTGGGTCCCCCCAGCCCGAGGCCTCTCTCGCACGCTCCCACGTCTGGGGACACTTCTAGCATCTCTGGGACGACGTCACAGGGTAACCTCCTGTGCGGAGAGGTTGAGGCACAGGGCAGGGGCCCCCCTGCTTACCTTGACTGAGGAGGGAAGATGTAGGCAGACCAAGTGTCTCGCTCTCGGCAGCAGGCAGGGAGCCGGGCTCGGATCCACGCTCTCATCCGCTCCCCTCTGCTCTGTAGGAGGATCACGGGGGTGTGAGCAGGGCCAGGCCTCCAAGGCCCCAACCCCTCGTTCCCTTATAGCAGCTCCAAGGCCCCCACTACCTTCCCTCAGCTGTATTTCCTCCTGGATTCCTAAAACCACCTTCTCACCCAACTCTGAGGCCCCTTTGTCCCCTGAGCATCCCTCATGTCCTTCCTTCCCCCCATCCCCCTTGCCCAAGCTCTGCACCTTTTCCCATCTCTGCCTCCAGCTCAGCCCTCGCCTGCCATTCCTCCTTCCCTCCCTGCTGCGCTTGGAAGTGCATCAATTATCAAACATCGGACCCATCACAGCTGTCTGTCTCGTCAGACACACTAGGGATGAGGGGACCCTGACCCCCTTCTCCTCGCATACTAACTGGGAGGTCCTGGTCCCTGTGCCCCACCCCAGGGTTAAAGGTGGTGGCTGGGGACTGATGGAAGGGGGGAGAGGGGAGAGGCGTGATGGGTAAGGATGGGTGTGAAGTCGAGGCTGTGATGACGTCCAGATGAGACAGGGGGACAGGAAAGGGCATCAGTTTGGAGAGATGAGTGATGGGTCTTTCTGAGTCACAGAGAGAGGACCATGAAAGATTCATACACATCTGTCCAAAACCATTCATATCCACCAAGGGCCGCAGAGACGCAGCCCGGGGGATGGTGAGGATCTGGGGCTCAGCGAGGCCAGGAGAGGGAAGAAAGGGGGTGTCGGAAGCTCGGCCTCCAGGGCCGGTATCCTGAAACCCCTTGGGTGTGAGGATAAACTCCCTGAATGCCACAGAGCTGGGAGGGGCTGTCCACCCTTGTCCCAGGCCAGGCATAGCTCCTCTCACTCAATGTCAGGGATGGGGGGTAGGGGCTGTCACTGTGCCCACAGGGGCCTCACCAGGTTGCCCTCGTCATCGCCATCATCTCCATCCAGTGGGGGGTCATCGGGGTGCAGGGCCTGGGCCAGGCGCCCCGAGGCTGACTTGCCATTGCAGCCCTGGTGCTCGGAGGCGGAGCTGCGGCCGCTGGCGGTGCGGTGCAGCCCGGGCACTTGCAGCGTGTCCGGCAGGTCCAGGGAGCCCCTGTGGCCCAGGCCGGCCCGCTCCTCCTCCGAGCTCTCCTCTTCGTCCTGGCTCTCCTGGCCCTCGCCCGACAGCAGGGACCTCCGCTCCCCGCTCGGGCTCCTCCGCTTCAGGCTGGGGGCCCGGCCCAGGCTGTTGCGGCTGGAGCGCCTGCTGGCCCAGCTGCTCGCTGCGCTCCAGGGGCTGTGCGGGGAGCTCCGGGCACTCGGCTGGGCGTGAGCAGAGGAGGGGGGGGTCTCAGCCAGGGCCATGTGGCCCTGCATCCCCCACAGGCACCCCACCTCCTGTGAGCCTCCTGGCCTCGATCGCACCGGGTGCGGAGGCACGATGGGCAGGAGCCTGGTGTCGGAGGCCTGGATTCAGGTCCAGGCTTATTCCAACCCGCTGTGTGACCTCGGCCAAGCTACCAAACCTCTCTGTACCGCAGCTCCTCACCTGGACACCAGGACACTAGCTAGGACACTAGCACCTATTCCACCCCTAGTTGGGGAGAGAAGTCTTCTGCCAGCTGGGGGCAGTATATAAAGTACTGGTCAGCGCGTCGGCCCTGACACCGGCCTCCTGGACGAAAATGCTGGCTCTATCACCTACTTGCTTGGGAGCTTCCCACAAACCACTGGGGCCACCTGAGCTGCAGGTCCCCGAATAGGGACGGTAACAGCACCTCCCTCATAAGGGTGCTGGGAGGGCTCAATGTGTCCAGAACACTCTGAGCAGCGTCTGAATCATTGGCCAGATGGGGTTTGCTGCTATCGTGATAGATAAGGGACTAAGGAGGTACCACCACACACACACACACACACACACACACACGCTTTACAAGGAGGCTCGGAGGCTGAGCCTCACTCAGTTCGGGAACAGAAGCAGCAGGATTGGAGCCCAAGGCCACGGCTCCCCCACGTGGCCACGTCACCAGCCCCGGCCGGCCTCCCACCCGTGGCTTGTCCACCCGTGGCTCGGGGGGGCTATCTCTTCAGGCGCACCCACCGCCATCCTCTCTCCCTTCCCGACGGCCTCACAGCTCCCACCACCGGGCACCCACGGGCGCCCCTACCGGCGACTTCATCTCGTGGGCCGCGCCGGGCTCCGCCGAGCCGCTGCTGCTGGTGCGGCGGGAGGCCGGGCCCAGCGCCTCGGCCAGGCCGGTGCTGGAGCTCTTGGGCAGCGACATGGGCGTGGCGGCCGTGTGGATGATGAGAGGGGGCAGCAGGCTCCTCCGCAGCTCCGGGTGCTCTCCCAGGGACACCACTGCCGGGGGAGAGGCGGGGACACCCCGAGTCCACTCAGAGCCGGCCCAGGGCCACACGGGCTGCCCCTCGCCACCCTCGGGACGGACACTCACAGGCCAAGTGCTTCTTCCTGTCCCCGTCGCCATCCAGGCTGGGGGAGAAGAAATCGGGCTCCGACTCGGACTTGGTGGCATCTCCCTGGGGGAGGGGAGCGGCGGGCCGTGAGGGGCCTGGCCCAGCAGGGGTCGGCGGGCTGGACGGAGGTCTGTCTCCCTGTCTTCACCCGCACACGTTACACAGAGAGGCCACGAGGACCACAACCATGGCACAAGACATGCACTAGCATCCACCAGACCACCCAGGGTCCCTAACACCTGAGTCTCCCACCAGCCACACCTCGGAGGCCACTGTTAACCCCAGAGCCCACAGCACAACCAGTTTGGCTGGGACTGGCTCCCAGCATGGCTGAGGGCAGTGAGGATGGCTGGGTGGGGGGGTGGCACGGGCCAGGCGGAGCTGGGGACCCGTGTGGTCACTAGAGCCTCCGTTCCCAAGGCCAGCGGCACCCCTGCCTGCCCTCCATGGCTGCTCTCCCCGAGCTTCAGCCCTGAGCACCCCGGAAGGAAATGGAAGGACCCCAGACAGAGCGGCTCAGCCCAAGGACGCCCACTCCGGCCCCTCTGTGTCTCCCTACACCCTCCCCGAGCTCCCGCCCCTCCCCCTGCCCCCATTTTTTTTACCTCTCTCTCTGTCTCTGGGACAGTTTTTTCTTCCTCCTTAGCAGGTCAGTAGGTTCCCCAGTAATTACACACTTCTCCTTAAGAAGTTATTAAAAAAATACTTGATTGCTACTTTTGAGAAGGACACAAATATTGCGTAATTGGCATCTCCGGGGATCCTTTTCATTAACTCGGCTTCCGTCCCTAACGAAGCTCTTAATTATCAAACGGGGCCTCCGGGGGGCTGCTCGGGATGTGCAGCTCTGTGGGTCCTGCGGGAACCCCAACTCTGCCCTGAATCCGGGTGCCGGGGCTGGGGCCAGAGGAGGAGTGTGTCCCCCAGACACCTGCTGGACCTCCCGGGCGGGCGAGGGGCCAGAGACTGGGACGTGGATCTAAAACTCTGGCGCATTCTGGCAAGAGCCACCCCTATCCCCTCATCCTCCAAGGATACGTCCTGGGCTGAGGAAGCTAGTGGGGTCTCCAACTGGGGGGGAGGGGGAGAGATGGGGGAGCACGGTCTGGGCCACAGACCGTGGACTAGGACTCCCAGGGGCCCTCCGTCGGCGCGCACACGCGGTGCGCCACACACGTGCACACAGAGGATTCTAAGTCCCTTCCTTCTCTCTCTGTCCACCGGTCAGTCTGCCGGGGACGGAACATGCCCTCTGCGGGTGGACGGGGCAGAGGCCAGGAGGCTCCTCTCCTCGATGCCCTCCGGGGGGGGGGGGAAGGGACTTAAAATCGAAGCCAGCCTCACGACACCAATGACCACCACGGCGACCACAGGCTGCACAGGAGCCGAGCGCGAACACGAGCACAGAGACACGGAGGCGGAGTGGAGGGGGCGCGGGGCGCGGGGCGGGGGGCATGCCGACTCGGATTGCGTACCTACCCCCTGGGAGTCGACAGGCAGCTGAATACAGCTTAACTGTCCACTCGCATCTTCCCGTTTGCTGATTTCCTACAGGGAGAGGGGGAGGCAGGGGACGGGGCTGGTCACAGGCGCCCGGGCGTTCACACATCAGCCGTGTCCAAAGAGGGTGAAGAGGAGGAGCGATGCGGACCCGACAGCGGGGGGGGAATGAGACGGGGGCGGGAGGAGGCAGGGGGGAGCACGGCCTTCCAGAATTCAGCCACAGGCTCCAGGGCCAGAATGAATCTGAGGAAGGGCGAGGAAAGAGGCCACGGAGATGGGGAAGAGGGTAGGGAAGGCGACCAAGCCCCCCGGGGGTTCTAACGCCAGCCGCCATTCGCAGGGTGTGCCAGGCTTCACGGGCACTAGCTTGCTTCCTCGCCGGGTGAGAAGCAGGTGCTGCCCGAGCAATCTTACAGGAGGCGCCCGAGGTCCGGAAACGCTCGGAAGACTGTGCGTGTCATACAGAGTCAGAGGTGGCGCGGGGCCTGGAGCCTAAGACCCCAGCTCCCCCTTCCTGGCTGGGAGGCAGCAGGCTTGGGGCATGGACAGGAGGGAAGGGGAGGGGGGAAAGGGGGGGAGGAGTGGGTGGAGTCAGAGGCCGGGGAAGCGACCAGGTGAGGACTGAGAAGAGGCCTCCTAACTCCCATCCCTTCTGCCTTCCTCCCTCCCTCCCCATCAGAACGGGTCCTGCCGCTCCCAGTGGGATGGGAATGTGACAAGTAACACCGGATGACAGCTCTGATGTTGTTTAATATCAATTAATGGCCTCACACAGGGCCCGCTGCCTGTTCATTTAATTAAGTGTGTGGATGATAAATATACAGGGATTCAGGGCACTGCCCCCTGCAAGCCCGGAAATCTACAGCCCGCCGGCTCCGGCCCCTGGTGGCCTGGTAAGGCCAGCAGGGGGCCACTCTCGAGGTTCCGGCTAATGACATCCACAGAAATGAAGGAGCCACTTCCTCCCCGAGGTGGGCGGTCTCATGCCATCAGAGCGGCAGGAACCAGACTCCCCTGGCAGATGGTGGGGCCCCCAGAGCCACCAGGGCAGCCCCCCGAAACTCGGTGCAGGAGAAGAAGGCAGGTGTCTCTGGAGGTATGCAGGTCCCCGGCACCGAGCGCCCACCCTGCACCCAGGAGGGGGTGTGGATGCTGAAATCCTTTCTCCATCCCTCCCAGACCCAAAGCAGCAGGCCCTGCCTGAGTCCCTCCCGGTGGAGGAGGTCCTGGCTGGCCCCTTGGGCCGGGGCCACCACAGGCCACGAGCAGGGCCGGAGTGACCAGGCCGGGCCCCAGGGCCAGGCTGCTCTCTTCCCACACACAGACATAGCTGCTGCCTAGCAACCGGGCCGGCGCAGCGGCACTCGATTTAACAAGGTGCTCGCTGAACGAGGCAGCGGTGGGAGGGGGCTGTCTGCGCCGGGCACCGCCAGGACAGCCCCAGTGGCTGCTGGCCAGGTGAGGGAAGCAGAACAGGCTCCCCTCCACATAGCTCCACGGCAATTATTCCAGGGGAATCTTGGCTGTCAGGAGCTGTGGTCTGGAAGGGGCTGAGGGACCGCGTCCCCACTCTGCTCCTCCTCCTCCCACAGGCCAGGAGCTGTGGCTGAGAAGGGCGGGTCTCCATAGAGACCCTGGCTTTTGTGGGAGCACGGTGGCACCCCTTAACCCTTCATGCCCTAGGGAACCAACCACCCAGCAAGGGTGCTGCTGCAGGGGGAGCACCCGTGTCCCTCCCTCCTGCAAGAGGCCCCGCCATCACCAAGGCAGGGCTCCGCCAGCGGCCCTCCCTCCCCCGGCGGGGGGAAACGCGCTCATGGGGAGCTACAGGATTACGGGGGACGCCGGGGAAGGCCAGGGAGGGACAGATGCCCCCGCACCCCACCAGCCTGGCCCTCGGGGAGCAGCCCTCCCTCGCAAAGGCTGGGGAAAAGGCGGAAAATAGATTTTGTTTTTCCACCGTGTGCCGGGTATTTATAGACCAGGCCGCAGCGGGAGTTTCCATCCGGGTCACCCGAAGAGAACTGGACCGAGAGCTTCTTTCTCCACGCCCAACCTGGAGCGTTTCTAGGTTGGGTCAACCTTCCCCGGTGCCTGGTGCTGGGCTGGGCCTGGGCCGGGCCTGGGCTGGGCAGAGGGGCAGGGTGGAGGGAGGGGAGGAGGGTGCAGTCTTTTGGGCAGAGGCTGTGCCCTGGTCCCGCAAGGGCGGGATCAATGCTAGTCAATATTAATTGATGACGCTGCCCGTGACGAAGGCGATGGAGCCGGGGCTGGAAATAGGACGCTCATCTCTGCCATCTCCTCGGCTAATTGGGCTCATTTCTCACCCTGGGCAGCTCGGCCCTGCCCGGGCCCTGGTGGCATCTTCATCATCTCAGCCAGAGCTCAGATGACTTGCACACAAGCTCCCCCGCCACACCCCTCAGCTCGGATGGGTCCCCGAGAGCACCTGTGCTCAGTGATCCGGACGCCCTGTGTGCTGACTTTTGTCTAGCTTTCTGAGGAAGGGAGGGTCTAGCCGACTTGGGAGGGGAAGCCCACTGGGCAGCTAATCTGGGGAGCCAAAGACACCCCCCCATGCACAAGCACCCCGTTTCCTGAGTGTCCAGGGGCTTTCTGAGACCCAGTGCCTCCCCCCCTCAGTCACCCCCACCTAATCTGAAGGGCGGGCACTTCCTGCAGGGCCTGCCAGACCCCCAAAGCTCAGGCTGGGCAGCCGACGCCTCCTGGAAACGGGCCACTGCGGGCAGGGGGTTACCTCCGCCTGGAAGCCCTCCACCAGGATGGCGACGAGCAGGTTGAAGAGCACGTAGTTGCCGAAGGTCATGAGGGCGATGAAGTAGAGGGCGGCCCAGGACGACGTGGAGGCCATGCCGTTGTAGAGCACCTTGTTCCAGTCCTCCTGGGTCAGGATCTGTGGGCAGAGGGCGGGAGTCAGGGCGCCGACCAGGGTCCCCCCACCCCCACCCCTGCCCACCCTGTCCGGTTTCCCTCGCACCTGGAAGACGGTGACGATGGCCCAGAGCAGGGAGTCAAAGTTCTTCCGGTCCGGCAGTGTGTCCCCGTCCCGCTCGGAGGCAAATTTGCAGCCGAAGAGATGCATGCCCAGGATGCTGGAGACGCGGACGGAAACCCACGCTGAGGGCTCAGCCCCAGCGGCCCCGCCCGCCCCCGAGGCCCCTCCCCGAGGGCGCCCCCCTCACCTGAAGATGAAGATGAAGAGCATGAGCAGCATGCAGAAGGTGGCCACGTTGTCCATGGTCTTCATGAGCACCACGAGCTGCCGCTGCAGCGCCGGCAGGAAGCGCACCAGCTTCAGCACCCGCATCAGGCGGAAGGTCCGCAGCACCGACAGGCCGCCCCCCTGCTGGCCCACGATCTCCCACACGCTGCAAGGGGGGCGGGAGCCTGAGCCGGTGGCACGCCCGCCCTCCGCCGCCCCTCCCTTTACGAGGGGCTGCTGCACCCCGGGCCTGGACAGGCTGGCACAGCCCCGGGGGGGGGGGGGGAGCTTCTGAGGTGTCAAGGATCTGGGGAACAGCCCCAGCCCTCGCCGCCCTCCCTGCCAGGCCAGAGATCGCACAGCCCGGCAGGGGCCCGCCCTCTCCCTCCATCGGCCAATGCAACGGCATCAGGTTATGGAATGTTCGCTTTGTTCTCTCCTAATGAAATCTAACGCCAGTTCCAAAAAAGCAATAAAGCGGTCCTCCTGGCTCCTGGCGTGAGGGGAAGGAGCACTTTCCCGAGGTTTTGGAAACCCTGAAAGCAAGCTGCCGGCAAGCTGAGATGGCTTCCAAGCACTTTGCAAGCAAGGATGGCTGGCCGGGCCTCTGACCGCCTCCAACTCCTCTCCAAGGCCAACTCCCCAGACCTCACCCCCCGCCCCCCCAGACCTGCGTGGGGTAAGGACAGGAAGTAGAAGTGGGGAGAGGAGACTGCAGAGGGGGTTGGCCACAGGAGATGTGAGGCCAAGACCCTCCTGAGCAGGGTAGGACTGAGGGACAGGGTGGGGTGGAGCTTGGGGGGACAGAGAGTCCCCACTTGGGGGAGCGACAGGGCCTGTGGGACAGTGGGACCCCTGGGACCGGCTGTGTGGCAACTCGCCCCAAGCCGCCCCATGGGCGCTCTGCAGGCCAGAGGCAGTGCAGGGCGGTCATACCTGATGACAACAATGACGCCATCGAAGATGTTGTAGGGGTTCTTGATGTAGCCAAAGGGGCCATACACGAGCAGCTTCAGCAGCATCTCCAGGGCAAAGAGGCTGGTGAAGACGATGTTGCTGATCTCCAGGGCGTTGGTGAGTTCCTCGGGCTGCAGGGCAGGGCAGGCATGGAGCACCCGTGGCTTGTCCCTGAGCCCCTCACCCCAGTCCTCCCCAAACACGGGACCACGGGAGCAGGAACGGAAAGCCGGGGGAGGCGGCCAGGGTGGCTCTGGATGCTCAGGCTTATGGGGAACACCCCCCCCCCCCAAAGGGCCCGTGAGGAAATGCACTGAGAGGCAGCCATCATATGAACCCCACTCCCTCCTCCTCTTCCCCCTGCCCCACCATTCCCAGCTCTGGGTCTCAGATCCTGGGGGCTGCCCTGTGGACTCTGCCCACCTCCCGCTGGCAGCTCTGAGAGCCATCGGTCCTGTGCCGCCAGGTCAGCCCGGCGAGCCCAGCCCAGCGGTGCAGTGATGCTGGCCCGTGCCACGAGAGGACTGCCAAGGCCTCACACGCACACAGTCACACAGCCACAGGCTAAGGCACACGTGCGCCACTGCTCCTCTGTGGGCTTGGCAGCCTTCTCCTGGACAGCTACCGGCTACCCTGCTTCCTTCCAGACGACGCACCAACAGACGTCACACGCAAACACACGCGCGCACACACACGCACACACACACACACACATGCTGGTACACGGAAGGGAAACCCCGAGAAGGGCTGTCACCGGAAAGGAGGCTCCTGAAGCTGCTCCCTGAGACCAGGACTCCTCGGCCGATTCTGTCCACTCACTGCTCGACCTTCAGGAATGAGGACCAAGGACACATCCCAAAGAGTCATCGGAACTGGTGACAAGCCATCTCACCTGCTTTCCCAGCTCACTCATCTCCGCCTACCCCCTTCCTCCTCTTTTCTTTTTTCTTTTATAAATTCTTTTTTAAAATATATATATTTTTATTGATTTTTCACAGAGAGAAAGGGAGAGGGATAGAGAGCCAGAAACATCGATGAGAGAGAAACATCGACCAGCTGCCTCCTGCACACCCCCCACCGGGGATGTGCCTGCAACCAAGGTACATGCCCTTGACTGGAATCGAACCCAGGAGCCCTCAATAGACCGATGCTCTATCCACTGAGCCAAACCGGTTTCGGCTTTCCTCCTCTTTGAAATAGTAAGTGCTTACTGCATGCCTAGCATGGCACCTGGTACAAAAGGGGCTGCACAAACGTGCCAGCCATGCCTTCGGCCTCCCGGGAGCTCAGCAGCTCACCGGAAGCGAGTTGTACACACACCACACAGCGGAAGGACCGCCAGAGGCCGGAGATGCTTCCGGGACAAACTGAATGGCCCAGACAGTGAACCCAGGAGTCCGGGGGCAGAAGGGGAGGGGAGAATGCGCTGGGAAAGCCCTTGTGGGCAGCCAGCATTGGACGTGAACTCTGAAGGGGGGAGTGGGTCTCTCCAAGCAGAGGGGAGGGAAGGCAGCCCAGGTCCAGCTCAAGAAACCAGCTCTTTGCCCGGCTGGCGTGGCTCCGTGGTTGAGCATCAGGTTATGAACCAGGAGGTCACGGTTCAATTCCCAGTCAGGGCATATGCCCGGGTTGCGGGCTTGATCCCCCATGGGGGGAATGTAGGAGGCAATCGATCAATGATTCTCTCTCATCACTGATGTTTCTCTCTCTCCTCCCCTCCTCTCTGAAATCAATAAAAAAGCATTAAAAGAGAGAGAGAGGAGAGGGAGGGAGAAAGGGAGGTGTGTGGCTGAGCTGGTGGTCCGGGCGGAGATGGCTGGTTCAGCAGAGCCCACTGCCCATCGGGTGGGCATTTGACCATTGAGAAGCCCAAGCAGCCACTCGCGAATAATCAATAAATAAGCCGACGAAGCCCCTCATCCATCAGACACCTCACCCTGTTCACCTGCTGCCTCCTCTGGCCAGCTGTCCAGGTAGGTCACCCAGGCATGGAGCCAGGCCCTGGACGCCACCAAATGGGTCCTACTGGCCCCAATCCGTGTGACCAGCCTGGGTGAAGGGGGGCAGGGAGAATTGGGAGAAAAGGCCTCTAGTAAGAGGCACATTTGAAGATCCGTGGCTGCTCAGGAAAGGAGAAGTTCTCAACTGGGCATGCGTTCTCTCCGAAGGCAGGCCTGGGGGGCAGAGCCAGGGCCAGCGGGCAGGGCCGAGAGCCAGCTGCCCAGAGAGCGAGTGGCTGTCCCAGGGGCCGGCGTGGCTCGGAGCCCGCGGCTCCTGTAGATCTGAATCGTGTCTTTCCTCCCCAGACTGCAAGTGGGGGCAGGAGCGGGCACGGGCACCGCCACCTGACCTAGAGAACAGGGTCACAGAGAGACAGGGCCTCCGGTCCCCGCCTGTGAGTGCGGAGCAGGTGGTGGGGAGGGGCTGATGTCGGGACGATAAAGCCCAGGGCACAGAGGCCTCCTGAGAGAAGGGGTCCCCGACTCTGTGCTCCCAAGTCCAATCTCCAGGGAAGCTGTGATCGGCGAGCCTGCCGCCCTGTCACTCTGCCACCTGCCCAGTTGTTCGCTCTTGGACTGGACAGAGATGAGGAGCATAGACCACGAGGGGCGATATTTTGTGGGTCCCCAGGCTCCTGTGTCTCACCTCACGCCATCCACCCAACAGCGGTCACACCGGGCGTTTACAGATGAACGAGAAAAGTCAAGAAGATGGCGCATGACAGGTTCAAAGTCACGGGGCGGGTAGAACCAGGGAGGGCGCTCAACCCACCTCACTCTGACTCCAATAAATACCAAGCAGGACCCAAACCCAATGTGGTGACAGGGCCAGGCCTGGGAATCAGATATACAGGTGCACCGAATATGTATCATCTAAAGTACGTAAAATCACATTTCACACGGACACAGGTGTACGCAGAAAGAACAAGTTGAGCCACCAGGCAGGGTGGCTCAGTGGTTGAATCAACCTATGAAAACCAGGAGGTCACGGTTTGGTTCCCCATCAGGGCACATGCGCATTCTTTCCCGGTGCGGAGCGTGCAGGAGGCAGCCAACTAGTGGTTCTCTCTCATCGTTGATGTTTCTATCTCTCTCTCTCTCCCTCTCCCTTTCTCTCTGAAATCAATGGAAATATACTTTTTTTTTTTTTTTAAAGAACATGTTGATTTGAAAAACATAACTGAAGTGCACTATGTACATAGAGCCAATACATTATACATCAACAATGAAAACGAACACAGCTTTTTAAAGCAGCTGAACACCCAGTCGTCTTCATTATCATGTATTTACTCAGCCAGTGAGCCCCAAAAGTACAGCTACTACCAGGCGTGTGGCAGGGGGATGTGTTCACCGTGTCCTAACGTTATCCCTGGGGTAGAGACAGTCTGTGCCCGGTGTTCATTGACACACACAGTCACACACACGTGCGCGTGCACACACACACGCTCACGAACCAACGCAGAGCCTCATCAGAAGGATGGTGCAGGGCCCCCCAAGGTCTACATGATGGATCCTGTGGCGCTGGGGTGGGGGGCAGGAAAGCCTAAAACCTCCACCTCATCCCTCCAGGCAGCTCAGGGACTTGGAGAAGCAGGTGGGGAGGAGGGCCGGGCACGCTCCCTCAGCCCGTCCTCTCTCCCCTCCACACACTCACAGGGCACACGTAGGGGCAATGCCTGTCCTATCCCAGGACCCTGGGACACTACCCCCCCCCCCCCCCCGCCCGTGATCCATGGGAAAAAAGCCCTCTTCCTCCAGACATCCCGGTTTGTCCAAGTTACTAAATCAGAGGCTGGGAACGTCTGCAAGTGCAGGGCGAGGGCGCAGAGACACAATCTTAGTAACAGAGCGGCCCCAGGGACCAGAGCCCGGAGCCCGGCCTCCGCAGCGGCGGAGCGGTGGGGAGGGAGCCAACGCCTGCTAGCACCCTCCCCAGGCCCGCAGGGCTGACACCGTCCTCCCAGAGGCCACTTCCTCCCGGCCTCCTCCCGGCCTGCTCCGAGAGGCGGGTCATTGAAAGGAGCTCGCCGAGTTGAAGCGCTAGGTCCGGCCGTGCTTTGCTCTGTATCTTTCCACGCTGCCCCCACCCCCCACAGAGCCCATGCCCTGATGTCATCCCTGGGGCAGATGCACGCAAGCCCGTCAGCCCTCCCCGTGGCCAGGAATCCCTTTCTCAGGTCTAGACGGCATCCTCCCTCCGATGCACAGAGGTCAAGGCCAAGGAAGCGCTTTGGTGAGCTGAGGCCAGACAGCCGGAGCGTCTCCCACCCAGAGGTCCCAGGTCTCCTCTGGGCTGATACCAACGGTACGTCCCCCATCTCCCATGTCCCACACCTTCCCTCCCCGGCCTGCCACCTGAGAGCAGCCGTGGCCCCAGGTAAGCTGCCATACGTCCCAGCACCAGATCTCCCCTGGCACCCACAGCAGCTCCATCAGTGGACCCCTACCGTGCCCACAGCATAATGCTGGTGCTACAAAGGGGGACTGAACCCCACACAGGAGGCCTGCTGACTCTGGGACTTCCTACCTGTGTGACCTGGGGCAAGTCCCTCACCCTCTCCGATCCCTAGCAGCCTCTTCTGTTAACCAGGGTAACACCACCTCACGGCGAGGCTGCTTGCCGAACACAGATCAAGCCCGTGAACACATCCCGCCGAGAGCCACGCTCCAGTGGCCCTGTAGGCACCGACCGTGGAAGCGGGCCTCACCCGTGGCAGGACAGAGGGAGGGCCTGCAGGGCTGTAACCAAGCCCCAGGAGCTCCCACCCCGCCGAGGGCAGTGGGCCAGGGGGAGGAGCACCATGGAGGACAGTGTGAGCCAAGGTGCAGAGGAGAGCAGGGCCGGGCATACCGGGGACCAAGAGCTAAGTGGTCTGCCTGGGTCAGAGGGGGCAGGGGCCGGCGGGAGACAAGGCTGCAGGGTCGGCAGGGCGAGGCCCAATGACTCCGCTCAGCGCCACAGGCTGGACTGGCCGCTGGGCACATGCTGCCATGGAGGCCGCCGGGGGTGGCGCTGGGGGAGGGAGGAGATGAGCAAAGCGGTGTATTAAGAAGATTAATCTGGCTGCAGTGGTGGTGGCGGCGTGCGGATGGCGCGGAGAGCTGGAGAGACAGAGACCAATTAGGGGATA